CAGACAGAAATACCTTTTACCAACGATTACCTGCTGGCTGAGAATCTTCAGGTTCAAACCCCCTTTGGCAGCGGCGATCACGGCGTGGCAGTGTTCGATCTGGTACTCAGCGAACAACCGTCATGGAAGGGATCTCTCGCTTGTCTTCGCTACAGCAAGGCAAACTACGTGGCGAGGAGCCAAGATTTGCCAACAGCACTATAACTTCAAGAATGGAGTAACCTTTCGACTGATCAACATTGGAGTCAGTTAGAAATACCGTCCAGAGGGCCATCTCTGAAAACATACCAGTGATTATGGTAATATTGAGGAAGCGCACCTCATGGCTAAAGAAAAGCACTGAACGCCTTTTAAAAGCGAAGAGGAAAGCATGGAGTAAGTGGACGATCTCCAGAAGAGAGTCTTGCCGTACCGCGTATATGGCCCTAAGAAATCGATGCAACATCAAAGTGAGGGGAGACAGGAGGTCTTCCCGGGCGAACCTTGCCCAGGAGCTCGAGGCGAACCCCAAAACCTATATAGATTTATGCCAGGTAGAAAACCCACCGGCTAGGGGGCTTGTGTCCTGGGGGTCTGATCGGAGAGAACCTCTCCGAACATGTGATTGCCGAAGCTCTTAGCGTCACATTCGATGCGCAAATGGACACTTCCCCATTGAACCAAAAGTGCCAACCGCCTGGCTAACATTCAGCACCACCAACTGCAGCAGAGTTGTCTGGAATATAGGTAACTCCTGCTGTGGTCCTAGAAAAGCCATCAAAGCCCTGCGCAGGAAAATCACCAGGGTGCGATGACATCCGACCGGCTGTGCTGAAGTAATGAGCAGATGCCTTATGCGGTCCGCTGGATAATCTGTTTCAACACTCCTTAGACAATCACATGCTTCCACGACAGCGGAAATATGCTATTCTGTCTTCTATCTGTCAAGGGAGGAGACGGGCAGAGCCTAAAGTGCCATCGACCCACAGCCGTTCTACCAATGGTGTCAAAAGTAATGGAGAGCCCAGTGGACGACTATGTCAGAGGGTACTTGGAAAAGGGGAGAACACCAAGTAATGGTTACAGAAAAGGTAGGTCCCGCACCTCAAACATTCTGGCTGCAGGTACCAAGTGGACGGCATGCTGGGATCCCCGAATTCCTGTCCATGTTATTCTCCTGGATTCTGCTAAGGCCTTCGACACAGCCCTGCACACCACTCTTATTCACAAAATATCAAGGTTAGTCATCAAGGAACAAGCGCCCTCCTAGTTGCTGGACTATTTAAACGGCGGACAGTTCAGCACAAGAGACAATAGAGTTCGCTGGACTTGGAAGGCATCATCATTTGGTGTATCAAAAGGAGCGATTCTGGGCCCGCAGCTATTCCTTCTTTTTGTGAACTACCTCCCACTGAGTCTCAGCCCCTTAGTTTCACCCTACGCTGATGATGTTAAGTTATGGAGAGCTGTGACGTCGGAAACGGAATCAGGTGGGCTGCAACGCGACTTCAGATTACCTTGTACTTCCCTATAGACGTCCCCCCCCCAAGCACCGTCTCCCATTAATGTAACTGCTATCTCTATTCCCATCCGTCCTATAAAGTTATCTACTCCTCTTCCCACTGTGCTCCCTTTATCTCAATCTTCTTTTTCCCTCTTTTTTCTCTCCTTCTGCTATTCATTTTTTCTCCCTTGACTTCTCTGGACATACTTTCCATCTCCTTTTCACAACCAGTCCGACCAATCGTCTCCTGGTACGACACTTTAGGAACCCATATGTACTGCAGTCCTTGGAGGAAAAAAAGCAAACAACAATCCCTACAAACTTAACCAACGCTCAACCGCCCGTCGGGCTAACCAGAGCTACATCAGTCGAGTGGTAGACCTACTGCATCGGAATCCACCAAAGACCTGGAACCGTTCCACAAGACCCAGAAGCGAGCTCAAAGAAATCAATTGGTTTACACTGGCTTGTAAAAAATATTATATCGGAAACGAAAGAAACCCAGCCTCAAAACTTAGTCGCAGGAGTTCAGAACTGCTACATAAAACACTACAACACTTGTGGATAACTGTTAGACTCACATCTACGCTAGCCACAAATATATTGAATATTGGAAAAATTAAAAAAAATTGAGTAGTGACGTGTTTCGCTCGTCTCTCAGCTTTTGGATTTTTCCACAATGAAAAACTCCCACTTGCAATACTCAATCTAAAAACATCGAACGTTTGCAGCACTTCTGTCCGTCCACGCACCTCACCCCTGCGCATTCGTCAGCTCACTCCTCAACAGTTGAAAATTGGCATTATTATTCCTTTGAACCAACCGGTCTACCTCCTGTCAGTGGTTCTTGGGCGTTTCAACTGCCAAACTGCCTTAGCTCTCGGTTCTCCTCGGAGGTCATTCCCCAGGAAATATCTTTCCTGGTTATACATACGCATCTGGAGCTTACGGTTAAACTCGTTGGTCAAGAGCAGAGGATCAAGTGACAAGTGTCTGAAGGTGAGCCAACATAAATTATCTTCCCTTTTCTATTCTGTCCTTTTCCTGCATTCAGTCTTCAACCCTCTTATTGTTGTTAACTACTTGTTTTCCCAAGAAGTTTATATCATAGCGACATGTCTGCCCAAAACGCTAGGTCTGAAGCTTTGACACGGATAACGCGGTCGTGCACAAAAACGGCCAGTAACACCCTAAACAACACACTAGTCTGTACTAGAAGACAAACAGAGGTAGGGCAGAACATCGAACTTCTGAAGAAGTGGCCAACCCATGTTTCTAGAATTCCAGTAGCCATCAGACAGGTGACACAGAGAAGCACTAGCCCGTCACAAACTAGTCCTATCTTGAGCAAGGATCATACCATGCCTGAACATAGAAGACGACGTAAAAGGCTTCAGAACAAGGCAGCCACAAGCAGTTCGCCACAATCCGTAGCACCTTATTCATGGAAGGAAGGCTGTATTACGACACCCGATGGCTGCAGTGTTTGCACCAAAGTTGTTTCGGTAGTCGATGAGGCATTTGCATGCAACCTGTGTCAACGATGGGTGCATTGCCACTGCGATACCAAAGTCCCCCGACAATACTATAAGCTGATGAAGAGACAACCATGCAAGTGGTTCTGGTACATCTGTCCAGAGTGCAGGAAAATGCCCGCACTCCGCACAGAAAGCCTGAAGGAGATGCTCTCCGCCACGCAAAAGCTACCAGCATCCTCGAATAAGGTAGGGTTAACACCAAAGGATAACACAGAGAGACCTGGAAACAGACCTAGAGCTCCAGCTGTGGGCACGCCATCTCGCGTGGGGACCATATTAGGTCAAGTCTCCATACCCCCACCCGGCCCCAGGGGACGTCAAGCGCATGGCCAAAGACATCGACCGCCGAAGCCTCTACGAAACCCATTCCGAACACCCCACACACCGTGACTGAGAAACAACCAGTGGAATTACTCAAACCCATTGGTAAGTCGGGCGTGCCACCCACAACGAACCCAGGTCACAGGAGGACCAACTCGATCATTTTGTTCAACGTCGATGTATCGACAGACTCATTGTTGGTCGAGAGGGAACAATTTGACAGCCGAATGTGGACCGACTACTGTCAGATGCTGGGACTCCCTCCCCTCCCTGCAACTTTGTGTCGCCTTTCTCGAGGAAGCCATGCACCCCGAGATAAGCCACCCCCTTTACGTGTGTCCCTAAATACCGCCAAAGAGGCTGAAGACACACTCCTTCTCTCGCGACAACCGGACGTTGTTAATGCCTGTAAAATTCGGGCCAGGCCTGACAAGCCATGGTCAGTAAGAGAGGAGGAGAGAAAGTCAGCGGTTGGAAATCCCAACAGAAACAACACTATAGTTGTACATGGGATTCCAGAATTGCCAAGTGACAGCTCGGTCAAAGATCGGTACTTTCACGACGTCCAACAATGGCAATGGCTCTCAACCAAAGTTGGTCTCAACAGTATACCGGCCAACAGCGTCAGTAGACTGCCAAGGCCAGCGCACCTGAAGACCATACCCAATCCCAGACTACTTGCCGTCCAGTTCGACTCATATGCCTCCCTCACAGACGTTCTGCACGCATGGTATAATGCGAAAGATCGCATGGGTGGCTCAATACGTATATGTGAAAGTAAGCCTAGACCCACAAGGCAAGAGGAGAGACGGCAACCACCAAGACCTCTGGAGTCAGTGGTCGTCACACAGGCGCTGACCAGTGAGTTAGATACATCAAGTAAAGAAGCCACCACTGCTACAGCCCCCACCCAAGTTAAGAACAAAACACAAAAAAACGGAACAATGCCAGTCCTATGAGGACTGGCGAGGCTAAAATCAACCACGTAAGCGCTCATCCCGCGAAAATACACATCCAGACCTCCCCTCTCATCAGGTACACTCTAATATGTATGTACAGCAACGTTAGGGGGCTAAGAGGGAAGGTAGCAAAAATGAGGACGCTGCGTGAACATCAGCACTACGACATCATATTCATCACCGAATCCTGGCTCTCATCGGACATCTCCGACGAAGAGATGCGTGTTGCTGGCATGGAACTCTTCCGCAGGGACAGGGAACATAGAGCAGGAGGGGGAGTGGCTATCTACGCAAACTCCTGTTTAAAGGCAAGGATGGTTAGCGATACGGCCTTAACCCAGCTCCCAGAGTCTCTATGGTGCTACTTCACTCTCTTCTTTATTCTCTCTTCATTCCTTTACCACTACCTTACTATTCTCTTCCAGGTACCTACACAGACAGGAGTCATGGCAGTTCTCTAAACTTCCCAGCAACCCGTAGCTCCCTAATCACTCTACAAATTACAACCTACTAACCCACAAAACATCCACCTCACCGAAGCTAAAAGCAAGAAAGCAGAGGGGATTTCCTCGTCCACTGCAGGAGTAAACCGAACAACTGGAACCAAGCCCTAAGAACTAGACGCGAGAGATCAAAAACTACTAGTTTTCTACGCTCGCACTATCAATATTGGATATTGGATATTGGATACACTCAAGGGCAGATCGAGGTCAATGTTGATGATACACAGAGTTACCGCGAGACTTCGCACATCATTTTTTATGGTAGACTTACTTTCCTATGCCAGTTCCCGCTTATCAGGAGTGTTTCTTTTTTTGGCAGGTCGTTATATAGCAAAGTTGTATCGGCTGTAAATGAAATAATATACTTGTGGTATAAGGCAGCTGTCTTACGGATGCTATTACTAGTACTCTCATGGTTCCAGAAAGTGTAAATTTATTTGAGTGTTGCTTTTTTTTTTAGCCCATTTGATAAGGACTAAAATTTTCAAAAAAGAGGAAATGAAAAGGGAGCCATAACATAAAGTGGATATTAAAGTGAAACGTTTTCAGCAATGCGTAAGTCGAAAGGAAATAGGTAAAATGGGTTTAGAGGTCACAAAAAGGGTTTGAAGCACAAATCCACGATGTAGGGCGAATTCTGAGTTAATCCCCCTTATTTGGTTGCCTTAGGAAATCACGTGTTGTGTCCAAAATCTCCTGATTTGCTGTGAGTATGTTACAGAGGTAGCAAAGTCCTCAGGTACTTCCTGAATATTGATTGTCCAATGTATTACGACTCGGTCTTCAAGCAGAGCAACATGATAGTCGGAGTCATATGCCGTAATCCCAATTGCCAAGTAAACGATTTTGTGCTAAACTGCTTGCAAAGGTGGGGTACTAACAATAAGTACCTAGTTTTTAGAGACTTGAATTATCATTATGTTAACTGAGAGGAACTGGTGACTACAGGCTCATGTAACTGCTTTAATATTGACTTGCTGCTAGCCATTCCCGAGTATTCCATGATACAAAATATGGTGGAACCAAGTACAGACCCTCAGTACTGGATCTAGTATTCACACACTAGGACGAGGATCTGTTACGTACAGCGCCTCCGATTTCTTGTGTGTAGTGATCACACTTATTATTTCTATATTTAAAACGTATGACCTAGTATAACTACCCTCCTTCGGCCCCAGTGTATGGCGCGCAAAGGTCGTCAATTAGGAACACTGCAGACTGGTCTGTCGACACATTGAACTGTTGAACAGGCTTGAGAGAAATTAAAGTCCACACTCGATAGCATCATATCTTTTATCTTTTAGTATACACCATGGAGACCTACCCATAGGCCTTGGATAGACGGTCCTACCCAAAAGCTCGTAAGGTGAGAAGGCGCTATTGGAACTCATATATTTAGACACTATATAACACGTTTAAATTAGAGCATCATAAAGGTGGAAAACTTTGCAACAGCCATCACTAAGCGTATTGGGTATCAAGTGCAACCAGTGTATGATTGTATGAACTGTTCTAAAAGATTACACATATTTTAGGTGCTGGAATGAAAGGTACAACGGGATGCCCACTCTAATTTTCAATGGGAACTAAAAAGTAATAGCTGATTTGGACACAAAAAAGGCTGGAAAAATATCAAAGTACTTCAGCGAAGTATTTCCAGTTGACAACAATATACAGGTATTGACCACTGTCAAGACGGACGTCTTCCTGATTTTGGAGGATAGGGAGACTGTCCAATGGCCTAAAGCCTGTTAAATCACCTCATTACACTCTAGGCCGCTACTAGCTCTGGTTAATCTTATTCATGACCCACTCACAGGGATATTTAATGTCTGTCTCATGCTCAGCTACCTAGAGTTTGGAAGGATACGGTGGTTTTTCCCCTTTTCAAGTATGGCAGCAAGCAACTATTTACGAACAATCTACTGGTTAATCTTACTTGCATAGTAGTTAAAGTCTTAAGAAAAAAGTAATTTGGCTAAACTTCTGAAGCATGTGGAAACATATTACTGACTGACAAAACCAACACAGAACCTATTTAATATAAGTGTAAAACTTGGGCACTGTTGTAAGCTGTTATTCCCTATTAGATTTGTTGATTTGATGCACAGCACACAGTGATACAGTATTGTTTACTTGATGACGTTTCGAGCATAAATTATTACCCATAATTATATCCATGTAATCACATTAATTTCGACATCTGATTTTTATAGCCCTGTCATCTCATATTCTGTTCTTATTGATAGTAAAATTTCCCATATCTCTGGTTGCATCATTCCCACTACATATGTTGAGTGTTGATTTGACGAACAAAGATTCAGCAATCAATCTCTCCACCTAATTATAGTGGTTTTATCTCACCCTATTGTGTGGTTGTGTTAATGCATGCAATTCAATAGCCGAGTTTTTTCTTCTAGATTATTGATGTTATTGAGGTCTTTCGTTCTATATTTAGCTGAATTCCTATGTTCCGCTGATCTAATTGACTTCAACCGGCTAGTTTGACCTATGTACTTGACCTCGCAATCATTGCGTATAGTTTGGTAGAGGAGATTATTTTGCTTAATTGGATTTATCGGATCCTTAGGCCAACAAAGCTTATCTCTGAATGAGTTTGTAGGTTTAAATGCCACACTAATTCCAGCCTTGTTGAGAGTCCTACGTGAAGTTTCTAATGCTCTTTCCTTATATGGTAACATCATAGAAGCTTTAAAATTATTTCTGCTTGTGTTGTCGCTATTATTTGTATTCGTATCACTGTTATCATTTTGTTTCCTAGCTGTTCGTACGAATTTCTTAATGAACGGTAGGGGATAATAATTAATTATTAATGCTTCTTTTGTGTTTCAATTGCTTGTTTAAGTCCTTACGCACCGATATCTTAGTTCTATGAGTAAGCTCTGAGTAACTTTATTTGCTTTCTGACTGCCTCCAGTGCCATATTGGTTTTTGTTTTGGCATGAAGACTCGTTGCACCGAAACTAACTATTTTTTCATCCTCTTCTACGTGCGTTTCATTGAGTCTTAGTTTAAACTCGTAAGAATTGAATACTTCAGGATTTGAATGGTTCCCAATAGGAAATAATATTGATGTTGAGTACTTTGATAGTTAATATGTTGGGGGTATTTTGGAAGTCAACATGGTTTATGAATCTTAATAGTACCGTAAACTCTACTAGGGTTATTAGTTTTCGGCATTTAATCCAACCATCTAGACTCAGTCCGCACACCAGGTTGGCTGTAGATTTTATTTTTTGCACGATAGTGCCTTGAAGTTTCTTGATCTTTTCATATGGTAGTGTTTGAATATGTTTGTCAAATTGACGAACGGACATTTTGTATCCAAGCTGAGATTTCGTCAGCAATCAACCCGTTTGAGCTGATTCAACTTCTCAAGTAAGTTAAGTGGTCGACGCATTCCACCACTTCACTCTTTATCACTAAACTGGGAGTGGTTACAGCAGACCAGTCCTGGAGCATCATCTTACATTTGGCAGGTATCGGTGAAACGCATGCCGAACATGCTCAGAATTTTGCTCACCGCATCCAGAAGACCGCTGTATTTTATCAGCGTCTCCATCTAGCAAGATAACCTCTAGGGAGTCGGTCAATCTCTGTGGTCAGGCATACCTAATGTTATATCAATTAGTATATCTATGACAAAGTTAAATAAGAACGGTGACAGTAAAGCTCCCTGGCGGATACCACGGCTGCGTGAGTTCGAGTAGAGAGCTTTGATAAACATTGCATACTTGCTCAGTACTCCTTTCACAGTCAGATACTACCATAATACCTCACGGTCGACAGAGTCGAATGCCACCTTCAGGTTAAAAACATTGGAAATGTCGGTCACCGGTAAGTACGCCTGTGTTCCCGGACGTATCAGAGGGGGAAAATAGGATTGATGCACCTCGTCTAACTATGTCTGAAGTCTGGCTGGTTTTCCCGAGTTTGCTGTTCTCAAGCTCCAGTTAGGCATTGGATAACTATGGACGCTGGGATGTTGGACACAGTATTAAGCAAACGAAATCCTCTACGGTTGTCACTAAAACATTTCTTTTCCTTCTTGTAGACTGGAATGACCAGAGAAGTACACCAGTCTGACGCACCACCTCTTATTAACGTATATTTCCTAGTACATTGAAGTAGTTTCCTACCTCCATTCCTAAAAACTTCAGATGGCAAACTAACAAGTTCTGCTGCTGTCTCGCATCTTTTCAGGTTCGATACAGTCTTCTCATCTTCAAGGACAGTTGAGAGACAGAGCTACTGCAGCGTTGATCTGGGGCATTTGAACTGTGCTTCAAAGTATAGTGTTCCGCCCAACGTTCTAGTCGACTGTCTTGGGGATTTATCAGCGTCCCATCCTGCGTGGCGATGGTTTCAATAATCATAATCTTTCCAGCATCCTTAATAAGCCCAAATAGTTGCGCGCTGTTACCTAACGCTAATGTCTTCTCCATCTCCCTCGTTTTCGTCACCCACTACTGCTCGCGGTTGACGCGAAGACTCAGTCCACTTACGTTTGAGTTGCTTTCGCTCTTCATCATGATTATACCCAGCTGAAATCGATCTTCTTGCAAAAATACACGAGCCAGTACTAGTGCGTGGTTGGAGTTTGAACAGGTATTCCAGAAAAAGCAGCACTCCACCAATTCCCTCCGACAATCTTTTACAACAATGTGATCTATCCATGTCCATCTTTGGTTTGAAGTCGGCAGACACTATGTGAGACAATGTCTCTCCTTATGCCTAAAGTTAGTGCTGACCAGAAACAAGTGATTGTTGGAACAAAATTGACACACGATCACCGCTGTCGGTTCATTGGCTTGGGATTCCGTAAATACTGTCAAGATGCCTTTCCGATTTGCTCAGCTCAGCTTCCCTACTTGGGCGTTAAAGTCACCTGCTATTATGACTACATTTGAACATTTTGCTTTGTGTAGCAAAACTGACAGCTTTTCATAGAATTAATCCTTTGCATGATCCGAACTCCAGTCTATGGTTGCGTAGGCGGAGATCATGAATAGGCGTCGCCTCATTTCACGATCCCTTCTAGTGTCTTACAGATCGCTTCAGTCGAACAGCATATAGATGACTGTTTAGTGATGTCCATTCAAAAAGTGTAGTAATTTACACCAGAACGGTAACTGCTTTTCATCTTACCACTATCCGATAGACCTTTCTGGCGTGCTACGACCCCGACCGATAGCTGCTACCTTGATGTGGTGGTCGGGCTTGCATATCACAGTAACCCAACGAGTTATGATGGCGGAACACTTGTTTCTTCGAGGTCTTACCATACCAGAAAGGTCAGTTGAACAGTGGTTAGACGAAAAGCATTTACCATTGTGGTGTAAATTACTACACTATGATGGGGGTCTGAAGGCCAAGTCGTACTGCTGTGACAACAGTAAGGTGTTTCCCTTGGATGACCAGCAGTGCCATGCTGATGTCATCTTCTCAGTGGAAGGGGGGCGGGGTTAGAAAAGGTCGGCCACAAAAATAACACTCCACTATGCCCCACGGTCTGCCGGATAGGCAGTGTTAGTTCATTCGTCTGATCTTTTTCGACCATCTGGCCCCAAAACAACCATACACAAAAGGCTGGGTGTGACAGGCCTCAAGCAGATGTCCGATGGGCTCTGCGGTCACACAAATCTCTTTCAGGTACCTTAAGAAGAAATAGCCTTCCACGGTGTGGGCAGCCGGGAAGTGTCAACCGCCCTCACAACTCTGTCAGCACCCAAGTTTCTTCTGACTGCTATCCTCCTCCTCCATCATTACCTTCTAATCTTCCTTCACGTCTCTTAATTAATGATGCTGCATCATCTTCAATTTCTCCTACCTCTGCAGCCTTCGACAACGATCTGAGTCCACAGAACAGCATCCCTGGTCTCCTTAAACCACGCTCCAAATTACATATTGGAGCCTTCAATGTCCGCACCCTCCGTCAAATTGGCCAACAGGCTTCGTTGGCAAAGACTCTAGCAACTCGGGCATGGATGTGTGCTGTGTTTGTGAGACACGCATACAGGACCCAAGTGTGGTTATTCACCTGACCTCTCCTGACCAATCTGGTGAATCTGCAAAATTCACCCTTCGAGTTTCTGGAGATTCGATAGCTAGCTCTCGTGGTCTTGCAGGTGTAGGTATAGCATTAAGCACCAGGGCAGAAAACTCACTACTAGACTGGATCCCAGTTGATAGTCGCCTCTGCGCTATGAGGCTGAACGGCACAGTGAGAACTAAAAGGAATAGTGAGACTCGCCGTTGTCTCTTTGTAATCTCTGCTTACGCACCCACTGACTGTAGTTCGGATGAAGTGAAGGACGAGTTCTACCATAAACTGTCTAACCTCCTCTCGAAAGCCAAACGTTCGGACGTAGTGGTTGTTGCAGGTGACCTCAACGCACAGGTGGGTAGACTGAGTGAGGCAGAAAGGCACTTAGGTGGCACTTTCGGAATCCCAGCTGAACGTACAGATAACGGTGATCGCCTATTACAACTATGCTCAGATAACCGCCTATTTTTAGCCAGCACAAATTTCAGACATAAAGAAAGGCACTGTCTGACCTGGCGTCCACCGAGCTCGACTCAGCGATGGACACAGATAGACCACATTGCTATTAGTCATCGCTGGAGAGGATCGGTGGAAGACTGCCGCTCCTTCTGGAGTACGTGTTTGGACAGCGATCATGCGTTGGTCCGAGCACGTATATGCCTGCGTCTCAATGGACGTAGAAAAAATTTGGCAACAAAACCACTACGAGTTCTGCTGGACAACGAAAACACCAAAGCCGTGTTCAGTGAGAAGTTGGCTAGGCAGTTATCGGAACAAAAGACTGTCACTCATCCAGAAGAAGCTTGGTGCCATCTTCAGTCTACTGTAAAAGCAGCACTGGAGACTGTAGCCGACTCCAAGATAATGGCTAAAAAGAGCCAGTGGATATCAGCAGCTTCTTCCAAACTAATGGATGCACGTGAATGCATCCCTGCAGGCTCTGAGTACAATGAAGAGCGAGCGCAACTTAAAAATAAACTGACGAAAAGTCTGCGCAACGATCGTGAACAGTGGTGGGCAGCAAAGGCTAAAGAGATGGAAAAGGCAGCGGCGATCGGTAACAGTAGACAGTTATTTAGACTTATTAAGGAGACTGGGGGGAAATGGTCAACAACAGTTAGTGAGGTTATAGCGGAGAAGGACGGATCTGCGATTCACTCGCAGGGAAGGCGACTGGGACGATGGGCAGAACACTTTGAGGAACAGTTTAACTGGCCTCCAGCCACCATTGCGCTGCCCGCTATCCAGTCGGACCCTGAATGGGACATAGAGACAGGTCCCCCAACACTAGAAGAAGTTGAGAAAGCGGTAGGTAGCCTGAAACGGGAAGGGCAGCAGGACCAGACGGACTACCTGCTGAGGTATACAAGAATGGTGGTAGAGTTCTCTTAGTCAGGCTAACGGAAGTGTTAGCCAGTATATGGGAATCAAATACGATCCCCTCCGACTGGTCTAAGTCACTGATCATCCCAGTCTTCAAGAAAGGCGAGAAGTCCTCTTGTGATAACCACAGAGGAATCAGCCTGACAAACATAGTGTCTAAGATCCTAAGTTCTATAATTCTCCGACGCCTGAGTGGAGCTCGGGAACAGCAAGCCCGAGAAAACCAGGCAGGCTTTAGACCTGGCCGTGGATGTATCGACCAAATATTCACACTGCGCCAGGTCCTGGAACATAGGCATGCTTACAGACGCCCGACAATAGCTGTATTTCTCGACCTGAAGGCGGCATTTGACTCCGTTGATCGAGAAGTCTTATGGCAGTGTCTGTCACTGAAAGGCGTGCCTAGTAAGTACATCACCTTATTGAAAGCTCTCTACTCGAACACTTGTGGGCATGTTAGAGCCTATGGTGAGTTGTCCAGGGAGCTATACTCATCAAGTGGTGTCCGTCAAGGATGCCCACTATCCCCATTCTTATTTAATTTTATCATAGATATTCTTATGGAGGTTTCCCTCTCGTCACCTAATTACAAAGACGTTGACCCGATCACAGGTGAATTTTCCTTAGATCTAGAATATGCAGATGACATAGTCCTGTTAGGTGAAGACGCTGACAAGATGCAGAGTCTTCTGAACACTTTGAGTGGGAATTTGAGAATGTTTGGGATGCGATTTTCACCACCCAAATGCAAATTTTTGCTCCAGGACTGGTCTTCAGCGGTACCGCGGTTAACAATAGAGAGTGAAGTGGTTGAGTGTGTTGACCACTTCACTTACCTGGGAAGTAGGATCAACCCGGTGGGTTAGTTGCCGATGAGATTTCTGCACGGATACAAAAGGCTCGATTGGCTTTTGCCAATTTGCGCCACCTATGGCGCCGCCGTGATATTCGTTTGTCTATTAAGGGTCGCGTGTACTGCACAGCAGTCCGCTCTGTTCTACTGTATGGCTGTGAAACATGGCCATTGAAAGTGGAAGACATGAGAAGGTTTCAGGTGTTTGACCACCGTTGCCTTCGTAGTATAGGACGTATTCCGTGGTGTCACCATGTGAGTAATGCAGAAGTTAGGTGTAGAGTTTTGGGAGAAGAGGTAAGTCAGTCGACGAGGTTGTGAACCTTCATCGACTGAGATGGTTGGGACACGTACTACGTATGCCTAGTCACCGATTGCCTCGTCACACAATGTTGGCTGAGGTGGGTTCAGGCTGGAAAAAGGCCCGAGGTGGCCAGACTAAAACATGGCACCAATGTATGAAGTCTCTGACTGTTGGTTTAAGCCATGTAGGACGATGCAGACTAGGTGGTTGGGGTCCACGGGACAAGAGGAACCAGTGGTTGGAGACCCTAGGTGATATGGCTCAGAACCGAAGTCAGTGGCGCAGATGTATACACACATTATCCTCATCTTAACAACGCTATACCGAATCTAACCGTTTGTCATTCTTCCTTCCTCTCTTTTCATACCTTATGTTTCTTTTGACTGAGTTTTCTCTTCTTCATCTTACACCTCACTGTCTTTTTACTTGATTCGGTGATATGAGGTGTGGCAACTCGAACCGTTACGCAGGAATTCCTGATCCTATGTTGATTTTGATGGATGAATAAAGGGAACAAGAGTTCCAGCCAGCATAACTCGTTGGGTCACTGTAATATGCAAATCTGACCACTACATCAAGGTAGCAGCTATCGGTCGGGGAATGGAAAGAATGAACATCATTATCGGAAATTACCCAATATACAAAACTCATTGTGAGCTCTGGCATGACCACGGGCTCTCGTGTACAGAGCCTTCAACTGAGTGGTATACTTGCGCAGGATCCCTTTCACTGGGGGATTCTTCCGTAATATCTCTCGTTAGACGGGTCGAATACTCCCTTCAGTTCGAGAAACACAGCTAGTTGTGGCTGTCGATAAGCCCGCCTGTGTTCCAGAACCCGTCTGGAGGGGTGAGTATCTGGTTGATGCATCCACGACCAGGTCTAAATGTTCGTTGAATCTTTAAGTGAATCATTTAAATATCCTCTCAATCAAGAAGTGGCCAATCCTTAGAATTTAGGTTGTATTACGTCAGTCTTCAAATGAAGTCAACGAGACAATCCAAAGGATTACAAGTTGGTGGTTTTATTAATCCATACCTACCAAAGCAGTTGAGGTCGTTCTCCTGTAGTGCATTAAAAAATCATCATATATTGATCTTTGCACCCATGGATTTAGTAAAGGGTATTCTCGAAGTAGCTATTCGGGTATTTCTTACCGTCAAGGCGAATTGATATTATTCGTGTAAACTTTTCTAAAGTGTTTAGTCGGGATAGCTACGACTGCCCTATTGATAAACCAGAGCTGATTGGGATCAAGTCAACCCTCGTCAACATTTTGGCATTATATTAACGTGGCCGTTTATTAAAAGTCCTGTGTTTGAAGACAGAATGTTCTGGCGGAGTTCCCTAGGACTGACTATTGACGCCTCTTTGTTTTATAATAAACATACTCGACTTGACTCAGCAGGTTTCTTCCAAGATTCTCCTATTCTCTGACGACGGAAATTAAAGAGAGAAATCAAATGTCAGGGAGATATAGTCTTTATTACAGGACTATTTGGCAAAGTTTCTCGACTGGGTGAGAATCCATTGACTTGTAATTAATCCTTAAAAATGCAAGCTGGTACTTCAAAGGCATGACGTATGTCTTACCTATAACCTTAATAACGCATAACTAAAAGTACCACTTATGGGTAGGATTTAGGTGTTGTTGTTCCTCAAAACCTAAAATCCTATGCTGAGACAAAATGCATTTTGTGCGAACATGACGCTAGTCACCCAGATGGGTTTTCGGACAAGTCGATCGCAGATGATTCCACAAGATTTTCAACAGCTTCATACAACACCTAGAGTTTGAGACCATAGTCCTTACACTTCATTGCAAACAGGAAACATGCATCTGAAACAGATTCAAAGGACATCGACCAAATTTGTCCTAGGACTAAGCTTAAAACACAACGAACAACTGGTAGCGCCTGAAATATATATTCCCTGGAATACAAGACTAAGAGACGGTTTGTTAGTGACATTTAATTTAGTAAACACATCTGGAAACCCAATTTATCACTTACTCGAACTAATTTGCAGCACTAGTCTTAGAGGATATACACAGAAGCTGTGTTATTGAGCGTGTAAACGTGGCTGTTAATAGCTGACTAATATACTACTACGTTTGCTACTGTTCTTTGAATCGTTATCCATGTCTTTTGTTTTTCTCTAAAAATTCATCGACATTAGTGTGATTAACATGATTTTATTGTGAACATTTAGTGTATGTAAATTCACATGATTCAAACTAACGCTCAATGGAACTTATGTAATAATGGAGTGCGAGAGATTACCAGAAGGCGTCGTCATTTCTGAACAGCTTATTCAAACGTCGAAATTTCTACAATCCTTCCGAGATAAGTCACTTTTCACAGATGTCATTTTATGTGCTGGTGAAGAAGAACTTCCTTGCCACAAAGCAGTACTAGCTGCTAGTTCCGCATATTTCTTTGTAAGTTTTCAGAGAATCAGTATTCCTCTAAGTCTGTTTTATAGTTTTGGGTCCTTATAACAGTTTTAAAAATTCCAGTGTGTTAATTAATGTGTAACAAGGTTAATGAGTTTGTTGATTGAGTTCGATTATTCTCCATACAATGCATTATCAAAAATGTCAATTTTAATAAACTTTGGATTAATTCTGTTGGATTTTAGCTAATGAAAGTGTAGACAAATCATTATTTCATCAAATCTGGTAAATGAATTGTATATTTTTAAAATAGGCATCAGTTAAAATGGTTTGGTATTGCACTGAAGATTTCAGATGATTACAAGCAACCAACTGGGAGCTTTGAACTTATCGGGACGGACTTCTAAGTAAGGTTAAACCTCCGAGAGACTGGTGTTTAAGATTCTCACCTGTATAATTCATCATTTTAGTTAGCGTTATCACTAACCTATTAAGACTGCCTCCGAATACCTAATATCAATAAAGTGCACTAGGATGTTAAGCGATTTAAATTAGTGAACACACTACACCTGTTCGATAGAATGCATCCAGCACTCAGAAGTAGCCAAGTAACGTTGATTAATTTCCACTAAGCCATAGGTCAATCGAATTCAATCATATAAGTGAATACTAGTCGTCCAAAATGCTCAGGACCAAGTCTCTGAGTGCAACGCCAGTGACCGGTTTTTAATTTTTCAAGGAGTATGCGGTCACTCCAACCTAGGTCACTAGTTACTAGCTGATCCTAAGCCCGGATAAAGAAGGAAGGTTGGGCATAGGGCTAGCAACCCTACCCCGGAAAATAAATCCAACTGCTACGAAAACTTCAAAGCACAAAGAAAACATAAAAAATAAAAATAGACTTATTCCTCGCCGGAATCGGGGAGACGAAATGACCGGTTGGTGAAGGCCTTCGGGAAACCAATTGTTGGATCCGTCTTCTCTTCTCTCGATGAAAGCGAAAGTAAACATGGGGACATGGAATATCCGAACCATGTATAAACCTATCAAGACTGCTCAGATTGCCGAAGAGATGAGAAGGTATGACATAAAACTGCTTGGAATCTGCGAAAGTAGGTGGAATGGAAGTGAACCCTCTAAACTCTTGACTGGAAAAGAGTCAATAATCTGCTCCGGTATTGTCACCCACACAACAACCATGAGCACACTGAGTTCTTGAATGGCTATCATGATTTCCCCAACAGCATCGAAGGCGCTCATGCAGTCGGAACCAATTTCCTCCAGGATCATGACAGTAAGATTCAAATCAAAAGGAAAGAAAGTTACAACCATACAATCCTACGCTACACATCTACAAATAATGCAGATCAGGAGAAAAGGGAGGAATTCTACAGACAACTGTGATCAGTACTGGACAAGGTCCCACCCCAGTTGGCGACATCAAAATTCTAATGGGTGGGGTGACATGAATGCCAAACTGCGAACGGATAATACAGGAGGAGAACTCATCATCGGTTGAGAAGCACTCGGTGAAAAATAAGTGAGAATGGAGAACTGTTTACAGACTTCCGCGCATTCAACGATTTAATGATTGGTGGCAGTGTGTACAAACACAAGAATATTCACAAACCGACATGGATTTCACCAGGCACACTAAAAATCAAATCGACTTCATCTCAATGTGAAGAAAGTGGAGACGCAGGCTACTGGACACAATATCAGATCAAGAAGGGGGAGCAGATTTAGGTTCAGACTACTCACCATCTAGTGCAAGGAACCTTCCAAATCAAGTTGAGAGCCTTCAAAGAAGCTGTTGATGATGGACCACAGTTCAAGTTCAACACCCAGAACAGAAAGTGAACTGAAGGACGAAACTATAAAGGACATCTTCACGTTAGGTATCAGGACAAAATGGGAGACACTGAGCAATATCCCTGAAGAATCGGTCGTGGAAGAATACTGGAACGCTTTGAAAGGGAAAGTGAACGTAGAGAAGACAGAGATGATGAAGATACCCAACCAACAACAACAAGCGCCAATAACCATTAACGGGGGAAACCTGAAGAAAGTAGTCTCTTTCACCTACCTAGGCAGGGAGCTTCGTTTCAAATACAGGCGGCGGAACAGATAAGGATATCAAAGCCAGGATCGAAAAAGCAAGACAGGCCTTCCTGCAATAATCCGAAATCAGTGTGGAGATCTACTGCAATGCACTCAGCATAAAGAACAAATCCGAATTTTCAACACCAACGTCAAGTCATACTTCTAAGTGATGGTTCAGAGGCTTGGCGCGTCACGAAAAGCATTTCCAACAAACTACAGACATACATCATCAACAGCTGCCTACGCTCGTTGCTGAAGATCAGACGACCAGAAAGAATAAGCAACAAGGAACTTTGGCCTGGCAACTAACCAACAAACCAAGAACCTATCGTCAACAAATATTCAGAAGAAAGTGGAGATGAATTGGATTGGACATACACTAAGAAGACGGTTTGGGGGCAACATGCACCAGGCCAGGCCCTCGAGTGGAATCCGTGGGGGAACGACGAGTTGGGCGTCTGAGGGTGACATGGAGGAGATCATGTGAAGAAGAAATGAAAGGTTGTGGGCAGTCGTGAAGCCAGGTTCAAAAGACCGCTGAAAACAGGGTGGAATGGAGATGTGCTATTGAAGCCTTATGTTCCACTAGGAACTCAAGGGACAAATAATAATAATAATAATAATAATAATAATAATAATAATAATAATAATAATAATAATGCGGTCACTTCGAATCGTAGATGTGTTTGGTTTATGAGTACCAACAAGTAACAAACCTAGATTCAAAAACATTCAACTATCCAATGGCATGCACTCATTGCAGTGCAGTCGTTTAATATAGAAAGGGTGAATTCAGAAAGATGGAAATCTCAATGAACGATGCAATAGTTGTAAATATCACTTGAATAACATCTATAAAGATAGTGATCATATTCATAAATTGTGTACAAAATTTTGAATAACCAAGTTCATAATGAGCTAAACAGTAAAATTTTCGGTTGCTAAACATTGAAGACTGAGTAGTTAGCCAGACTATTGTCTTTCTAAAGAATCAACTTAAATATGCTGTAGACATACAAGTTTTATTCATCATATTAATTATAGTTTAACACTCAGATTTGGTTGAGATGCAGAGAAATTAACTGAAATCTAAAATTATTGCAAACCACCAACTAATTACAGGTTTATGTACTGTATTGTAAACCAATGTGTAAAGGCTAGTAATGCCAATCGCTAACTCTAAATGTCAGTAGTTAGAGCAAGGTTTGGATTCGATTAGCGGGACTCACTTAAGTCGGTTGCTGTACAATTACACCAACTGCTACATGGTGTCTGAAAACAATTTTTTTCAATAGGTTGTTCCAAAATGTTTGTAGGAAAAATCAAGAAGATACCTTCAAACTCTTCAAGAGTACAATGTAAGCGAAGTTATTCCTACCGATGACTACTCAGCATATACTGTTTATTTTAATTAAAGTGTCAATTAGCTGGACACTTACTCATCGACGAAGCATTACATTTTGCGCCGAAACGTCTGCACACACAAAAAAGTTTCCAAATAAAAATTAAGTGCTTTAGTCATGCATTATGCTTTTTAAAATCGGTATTGTTTATTAAAAGGTTGAGCACCTTCAGTTTTAAAATTAGTGATCATGCAGTTCTGTGAACCGTTCACCATATTGAGAAATTATAGAGTTTTAGGATATGTCAACGAAAGTTGAATGACCCTCCTCAGATATTGGAAATAACCGTCATGAATTCCACCTCAGGTTGTGTGTTCAAACGTGGCTCCTATCAGTTAGCTGGTAATTTTACTGATGTCATGAGTTTGTCTTAACTTAATTTTGGTTAGTCAAAAGCAACTACCAAGTTCCCTTAAAGTAATAAGTTACGTGTCACATGAACAAAGCTTTGAAGGATAAGCTAAGGGAATGAATTTGGTCTTTCGAACAAACCATTTGAAACCGAAATAGTTTATATATAATCTACAAACCTAACATTTGACTGGTAATGTACATCATTACAGCTATTATGTTTGATGAAGCGAAAGTAAACTGAGGTTCACTGTACTAACTTGTGCAAACCAGTTGTTTTGCTTGTATTCTAAATAATTTCTTTCAGAATTTGTTGATTTTTAGCATGTTTTTATCAAATTTATATTTCGTTGATGTTTATTCATCTTGATGAAGTAATATTGAAAGTACATAGATTATACAGTGATCAATGTACTTTATGTGAGTTATAAGACTTTATTTAGAATTGCAATCTACTCATACAAGGTTTATTTTTCAGACTTTTGGAAATATTCAGTCTTTGTAACAAGATTATAAATGCTATTTAAAGTTTTCACAAGGTTCGATTTCTGTAAATAGAGGTCTCGGATCGATCATAAAATGTATAGAGAAGAAAATAGTGTATATCTTACTCAACGTTTTGTATATTTGCTAATAGTATAAATAGGAATATATAAAGGATATTCGAAACAAAAAAACAAAGTCTTGCCCAGTAGTGCCTCATATCAATTTGTCATGGTCGACGACAGTACGATAAGACCGAGTAAATCGAAGAAGAATATATTCAGATGAGAAAGAATATATCGGTGAACTTGAAATAAATAAATAAAATGACCAAAAGTGACAGATTTTATAAGTGAAGTCTAGGAATGTAGCTTTTTATTATTAAAGTATATTTCTGAGTTGTCGTTTCGCATGCTGCTTTTGTAGGTTAACTCACAGAATCTCGGACTAAGGTTGTCCGATTTTTCTTCTCTTCTTATGGTTGGGGCCTATAAGCATTCCAAATAATGTTTCCCTTCATTGTGTTTTGTAGTTAGAGTATATTGTATCTGTTAATTTTACACTACATTCTAACTTAAAGAATTCCTCACTGGATGGTTCGTCTTTACTCTGACTATATTATGGAAAGTTATATGATGTCTGTTGATCTTGTAATCTCCCTATCATATGTGACTTTATTTTTTTCATTTGTTATACAGGCAATGTTTTCATCTCCTTATAAGGAACAGCAAACATCTCGTGTTACGTTAGATTATATATCACCTTGGGCTCTTCGTCGTCTTCTTGATTTCGTTTACCTTGGAATTTTAGAGATAACAGAGGCGACAGTACAAGATGTCTTCCTAGCTGCTAGTTTACTTGATTATCCGGTAGCTGTTAAAGCTTGTGTTGAGTTCATGAAAAGTCATTTGGATATTACAAATTGTTTAGGCATTGAAGCGTTAGCTGAAATGCACAATCTCACAGATTTAGCTCAATCATCACACAAGTTAGCTGTGGAGAATTTTTCAAGGTAAGATATATTTGATTACTTCACTGACAATTGAACAGTTTATGAATAGTTTTCTCAAACCTGCAATTATCATTTTGAGACCAGTCTAGTTTCTTTTCTATCGTTTGCTACATTTGTTATGATATTAGCATCTTTTCAATGTATTAAAGTATATTATGTAGTTAACATTTTTAGTCTTATCGGATAAAGTGGAAAGGACGGTTAATCAAAGAAATTGGTTCCAGTGTATGTTTAGTGCCATACACGGCACAACTATCACAGGTGATAAGAACTGTATTGCCCAGTTGAGTAATCTGAATCCCTCACTTCCACTAATTTTCTCTTCTTTAGGATGTTCAATTTATCAGTTCGGGGAGATGTAAACATATCAATGACAGATAGTGGCTAGCAGCGGAATTCAGGACGCACGTTTCGTCCTTTTTAGGACCCGTCAGTTAGATGTGCCTGCCTCGCACTGAGCGATGTTGTTCCCACTGGGACTGGAAGTCAGGACCGATTGCTTTAAACAACACTAAGTTATGATAGCCACTTCCTGTGCGACGGGTATAGTTTTAGTACTGTTGCGCAGGAGCCTTTATACCAATTACAGACCGACGGGATAATACAAACAACAACATTAAATGTAAACATGGTTTTAGGAATAACACTAATAATGCACAAAACTGTCATGTAATAGTATTTCTTAAACCTACCTAGACTATGATCCATCCGGATAAGCATCTCTAATGGTGAATAGACCGGGATGTGGTAGAAATCCAAGTGGTCTCTGACTGATGATCAGAGTTTTGTAGAGGAGTGTAGACTTCCTGGTTACCATTTTCAAAAGGTTATGAATTAGTAGTTAAAGATCCTCAGTAATGTGTTTCACGGTTAGGCACATTAGAGCGAACACATTCACTCCTTTTCATCGTTCAAGTTCTAAACAGTGTTTTTCTCCCACCCTTTTCATATCATTCTTCATATTCATAACACTGTTTCGTTTGTGCTCTGTTCTTTTACGAAGCGTGAGAACATAAAGTGTTCCTATTTTGTTTGATATTACCAGAGCCGTAAAATTGATTGCATTAGTTATCATTGATTTGAACCGTCTAGGTAGGTTCGAGTCCCCTGGATAGTGTTGGCAAGATAATGGAGGTCCTTAGCGTAATACTCTGAATGAAATGGTTCTAAAACGATTAGATGTATTCATTATTTCCCTCCAAACTGTAAACACTAATATACACATATACATATGTTTCCTGCTTTTGTTTCTCTCGTCAAGTTTGTCGTAGCTTATATCGATTCACTCTTATACGGCGTTCTGAGTTCATTTATGATTTTTGTTTTAAGTGTATGACCATGACCTTTTATTCACTTATAAGTCAAAGGATTTTCGTGAATCGATTCAATACATCCAAATAAAAACGTGCTATGGAAAGACAGTAATTTGTACTTAATATTAGTTCATCTGTAAATCATTTGTAATTTATAAATTTGATGTTAGAACCCTCTATACATTCAGTATACTTGCTTTACCTTTATCAGTAAACCCATCAGCTACGTTTGAGCATACCGTATGGCTCCTAAATCTCTGTAGTCAGAAAAAAGCTTCTAACTCTTAATCCTTTTTAATCTTCTTAGAACTATTCAACCATAGATTTACCAATAGGTAAATGGTTTGTAAATTTAGGAAAAGAATAGCTTCAGTCCTATGTTCTTCTAACTCGAATTTCTAATATCGTCGCTTAATACAAAATCATGCTTCTGCTAACAATAGTATAGACATTGTCGATTCCCACTAGTTATTGAGTAAGTACACTCCCTATTGATATAATTGTCATACAGTATACTTTAAATATTACCGTATAAAATCTTGACAGATTAAAAAGGATAAGGGGGGGGGGTCTCACTGAATTTCACCATATTCCCCACTTATTATATGACACTAGAAGTTCATTCCTTACTCGTGGATATCGAAAAAACTATCGCTAAGATGCTGAGAGCTAACTTAGTATATGAGGCACCATGAGAAATCATCAGTATGCAATACATATTTGTATTCTGTGGAAATTGTTTATTATGACGTTTTGGGTAAACGTAAACTAGTGCATACGGTTAAATAATTTGTCACTAGCTCTGGAGGTTTGCGTTCGTTTGTACAAAAGCTGCTACAGAAACGGAGTTATATTATATTGAGACATAATCTGTTTTCGAATTATCGTGATACTTCATGAAGATAACGTGTCGAGTTGATTACCTGACCCACTGGAAAAAAGTGGGACATTGTACAATAATACATTGATTCAACTCGCTCACTCAACAGCTGAGTTAGATGCAACTGCTGCAAGTATGTTTCCCCGTAACAGAAAAATAAAAAGGAGCGACAAGAAAAGTTCTGGAACAAAACAATTTTCACAATTTGGAGGCAGATGAAAAAGGGATTTGACTATTCTACTTGGATCGGTCAGTTAAGATCTCTAAGAATCAATTTTATAATAATTAATACTGCCGCCTAACTAGTCTACAGTTTCCTACACGACGGAAGTTTACAAGCATTTACTTCTTGACAGCATGTCATGTTAATTTTTCTATGTTCAAGCTTTTTGGCTGGTTATTTTTAGCAGTTGGCTTTCAACCAGGGGATCACGCGTTCAATTGTCATCCCATCTACCAGGGTTTTAAGAAGCTAGACAGTATCATTAACTCTTACACAATGTGTGTGGCTAGTTATCCACGTGATTGCTGAGAGATTATATCGAACGTCGAAATAAGTAGGAACTGGGTATACGCAGCATATTCTAACTAGTACTATCTCACTTTCTGTGAAACTGATTTTCATCTTAGTATTGTCGCTTGTATTATCCCATCGTTGATTGGACCTGATTGATCGGTCTCTATTGGCTTATAAGCTTCTGCGCGGATGCCTCGACATGGTCTGTGTATAATCATATATTAATGATGGATAATGGCTAGCAGTGGAATCTAGGACGCCCGTTTCGTCCCGTTTGGGACACGTCAGCTGGATGTATCTGCCTCCCAGTGGGTGTTGCTTTTCCCACCGGGACTCGGACTCGAACTGCTGGCCACTATCCATCACTACTATAATTAGAACACTGATAATATCAAGGGATCCACGCAGAAGCCTGTATACCGATCAATTTGGTCCAGTCAACGATGAGATAATACAAACAACAACACTAAAACTATACCCGTCACACAAGAAGTGGCTATTGTGGCTCAGTAGTCTAGTGGATAACGCTCTAGCATTTGAAGCGACCGGTCCCGAGTTCGAGTCCCAGTGGGAACAACAGCACTCATTGGGAGGCAGGTACATCCAGCTGACGAGACCCAACTAGGACAGAACATGCTTCCTGGATTCCACTGCTAGCCACTATCCATGATTAACGATTCCCACCTGCTTAAAATTCTACACCTAATCAGGAAGATATTTGTCGCATACTTTAAATGGTTGTGCCCTATGTTTTATGGAGATTACGAGTAAATTTGTTCGTCTTCGTATTTCATCCTACTCTTTGTTCTTGTTTCAGTTGTGCACTGAAATAAAGGGTATAGTTTAGCCCTTAATGCTCATTGGTATTATATATCGTGTAAGTTAGCTACTATGAGTTAGTTATTATGGATTTGTACCGAAGTTTTCTTAGGGATTGATTGTTTACGTATAGTTGAGATGAGCGAAATAAAGTGAAATACCTAGGTATTCTCAATTTGACTGTGCCTGCTATAGGCCGTACATAAAACAGGTCGTGTTAACTAGATTCTTATCACCCTGTTACATTGTTTGCACTCAATTTATTTTGCATAGAAAATATGTTTTAATATGAGTGGATATCCTTAATACAGGTAAGAAAAGAAATGAACAAGGAAACTTCTTTCTAATTATCATACCAACACAAACATTTTGTCCATTTGTCTATCTTCGTCTCATTAAATTGTGTGTTCTTTTCACGCATAGTTTTTGTCTCGCAAGTGTAGATACTTAAAAGTTGTATGAATTATTTACTAAGTTAACAGATAGAATTTTCATAATTCACACTATACATGCTGACAGCTGTCATAAACTCATGTATTTATTTTCTTTGGTGCATACTTTTATAGGTTTGTAAATATATTCATGAGATGTTCGTAGGCCTTAGTGCATAAATTAGTACTTTTGTTAAGACGCAAAATGAATTCAATCTGTACTAAAGAGTTTAATAAAGTTCAACTTTCGAATACACCGTTTTTACACTGAACATATACAGAAGCGGTTTTACAAGTTTGACGAGTTACAGTTGTGCATAGTTAACTAATTTTGAGAGTGGGGTGGGGGTGTATGTGACGTTTGAAACATAATCTGCTGATGTAGTTGTCGAATGGATTATCGTTAGCTCTCTCGTGGCGCAATTGTTAGGTACTAGCAAAATAATATCCAATAGGTTTCTCATTTTACGTGTTGAACCATAAGCAAATAGTCTGAATGCTCAATCAAAATCACTAAACAAGAATTGTATGTTTTGCCAGCTTCTGCATTATTTTGTTTCGGTTTAGTACTCCACTGACTTGGGAGTCACATAACTGTGTTTCACATTGTTCCAACCAATATGTTTATGATATTTTGGACTGGCATCTTTTGACATATTCTCATTTCCCTCTAAACCTATTCAATCACTGAAGTTTATTTTTTTAATCTGAACTTGCTCATCTTCTGGTTAATCTGTAATAAATACTTTGATGCATTTGTAAATCCAGATATTCATTAACTAACGCACTACTGTGAAACTATTCATTCCGTAATGTTGATCTCGAAACCAGTTATTTGTCACTCTTCAAACCTTTTCACCACATCATGTTCCCTAGCTTAAAAACAGTCTACTTAAATGGTGGGTCTGTCGTGCAACTAGCGGAGTATAGTGGGTTTAAACTAGTTTAAAAAACTTTCATCGATGGTGTGAAAATGGAGATTTTTTCTGTACGGTAACTAATATAACTTATATACAACTTTTCAAAAATCCAGTCTGCTTTGCTGGTAAATGACAGCGAACGGAAGACCCAAGTCTAGGTTAATTAACTCCTAACATCTTACACCTTGGATGAACTGATAACTCACACTCCTCTGTACACCCCTCAGGTGATAACGAAGGACGCGAAAATCTTTGGACCTCAGTTGAATGAGGCTGATATATATATATATATATATATATATATATATATTATATATATATATATATATATATATATATATATATATGCATAGTACATTGTTAGCTCGGTACATAGTATATGCGTAGTACAATAATCACCTAATTGAAACCAAGGAGGAAAGGCATACTTGGTATTTAGAGTAGAAAGAGCGACTGACATGATATAAAGAACTAACGGAGAAACTCGAATTCCAATCTCAGAAAAAATACAGTCGCTACCTACATTCGAGGCGAAAAACATTATGCATAACTGTGTGGGGGAGATGAAAGAAAATATGTATCTACTCTTTTCTGTTTTCTCAACAGTCCAATAGGTGTATTCACAACATTTTAATTTTCAGAATTGAATATATCATTGTAAATTTAAACATTTCATTCATAACCTTCACAGCTTACTGCTAGAATCCAATGAATGGGTTACTTTACCTATTTCAACTGTAATTTCATATATATCTTCAGATGAATTAGATGTACCTTCTGAACAGGTAAGTTATGTTCCACCATCAATATTGTATATACACAAAGTGGGTACTGTATTTTGTATGTTTTAATATGTAGCAAATTCTGAATATATTTTGTACTTAATATATGTAGATAGTATGCTATAGTGGATATTAAATGTTGTTGATCGGATCATCTGAGGTAGCTTTTGTCAGCAAACTGTTTGCAGCGTAGGCAGACAATGATTTAAGTTGAAACGAAAATCTATATGACAGTGAAATCTAAAATAGATATTTTATTCATCTTGGTAACTAGCAGTAGTAGCAGTCCTATTTGGAACTCGTCAGCTGGATGAACCTGCACCCCAGTGAGTAATGCCGTTCCCACTGAGACTCGAACGCATTATTCATCGCTTCAAACATCAAAACGTTATCCACTGGGGTATTAGAGGTCGAGTACTTCGACCCTGTATAGAAACGAGAAATTACAAGTATCAAACTTCGAAATAGGTAATTTAATATTACTGACTTCAGTGCTCTTCTGGATTAGTCTTGAGATGCAATATGCAGCCAGACTTCCATTCCACCTATACCACTGAAAGTTTCCTGTTGTTATAGTGTAAACTAGTCGTCTATAACTGCCCGTTCTTCATCCTATTATTTTTCTGACCTAGCCTCAACCTAATCCAATCGATATTAGAAACCGATGATCATGTTTATGTAGAACCAAAGACTGAATGGTTCCAAAATTTCTTTTGTGTAACTGACCAGAGTATATTTTTGTTTGTGTGGATAGTTGTAGTTTCGTACGTCCTAATTCAAGGCTGGATACTCTACAATGTTAAGTGTCGTTCTTGTGTTACTCAAGTATGAGAGATTACTGTGATTACTCGGTGCGCATATGCATGCGATTTAACCGTAATTGCAAGACTGAGGCCATTTATTGATATATTTTGTAACTTTTATTTGTGTCATGTAAATCGTAGTAAAAATTTGGTGTTTTGTAGCTTGAAGATGATTATGATCTGTAAATGTACTCATTTTATAAGCTTCAAAGTTATCTCTAAATGCTTGTGAAGTTCTTACTGAACTTGCTAGGTTATATTTTCTCTAACCATGGTTTTCGATAACGTCCTTACTTATCTTACATGTTCGAAGGTAAGGTTTCATTAAGAATGACCCAATTTTTAAACAGGGTTTAACAGACAGCTTCGCACTGTTCATTGACGAATCACTTCCGAGATGAAGCTCTCGAAGTTTCTGTATGAAGGCATGATGTATGAAACACAAGTATTCGGCTGTGAAACCAAGTATTCATCGATGGTACCAGTCCTAAATCAATGTAGAAGGACTATGAAGGATCCTGATACCAGGCTACGCCTATTCATGATCTCCGCCTACGCAACCATAGACTGGAGTTCGGATCATGCAAAGGATTAATTCTATGAAAAGCTGTCAGTTTTGCTACACAAAGCAAAATGTTCAAATGTAGTCATAATAGCAGGTGACTTTAACGCCCAAGTAGGGAAGCTGAGCTGAGCAAATCGGAAAGGCATCTTGACAGTATTTACGGAATCCCAAGCCAATGAACCGACAGCGGTGATCGTGTGTCAATTTTGTTCCAACAATCACTTGTTTCTGGTCAGGCATAAGGAGAGACATTGTCTCACATGGTGTCTGCCGACTTTAAACCAAAGATGGACATGGATAGATCACATTGTTGTAAAAGATTGTCGGAGGGAATTGGTGGAGTGCTGCTTTTTCTGGAATACCTGTTCAAACTCCAACCACGCACTAGTACTGGCTCGTGTATGTCTGCGCCTTACTGGTCGCAGGATTCTGGTGACGGTTGGGCCTATCTATGATCGATTGGAAGATGAGAACGCCAAGTCCAAATTTACTTGAATATGATGGCAATGCTCGTCACAAAGAAATCTGGCCTTGCGTGACATTAAGTTTGCGGTTGAAACAGTGGTAAAGACTGTTGATTTGAGCCATATGGGGCGATGCAGACTGGGTGGTGGGATCCGTGGGAGAAGGGAAACCAGTGGTTGGAGACTCTAGGTGATATGGCTGGGAAGCTATTTCAGTGGCGCAGATGTATACACACATTATCCTCATCTTAACGATGCTTTACCGAATCTCACCATTTTGTCATTCTTCCTTCCTCTCTTTTCATACTTTATATTTCTTTTGACTGAGTTTTCTCTTCTTCATCTTGCACCTCACTGTCTTTTTACTTGATTTGGTGATATGAGGTGTGGCAACTCGAACCTTTACGCAGTAATGCCTGATCCTATGTTGACATTGATGACGATGAAAGACAGATGGTAACCTACACCCAATGATTAGAAAACGTCACTGGATTTCCGCGACGTCACCCGAACTGGTTGGTGCGACAAGACTGATTTCTGCTGGCTGTGACCACGATGAAGAGCTAATGGAACGTAGACGTAAATTGACCAAGTCTTCGCAATGCTCACTAGAAGTGGTGGGCAGTGAAAGCGAGAGAGATGTAGAAGACATCAGGGGTAGGTAACACTCTGAAACTACTTATGGCTATTAAGGATGCCGGCCAGAAGATGATAGTTAATGAAACCATTACCGCACAGGATGGGACGCTGATAACCTACCAGGACAGGCAGCAAGAACTTTGGGAAGAATGCTACACTTTGAAGCATGGTTCAACTCACCCACAGTAATGCTTTGATTGCCTGACATCCAGCCTGAATCTGAATGGGACGCTGTTGTTAGTCTTCCCACTCTCCTTAGAGCTCAAAAGGTTGTATAGAACCTGAAACAATGCAAAGCAGCAGCAGGGTCTGACAGTTTGCCACCTGACGTTTTCAAGGATAGAGGTAAGAAATTACTTCATAAAGTGACTGAATTACTAGGAATTGGAGGTAGTGCCATCGAGCTGGTGTACTTCTCTAATCATCCCGTTCTAAAAGAAAGGTGAAAAATCTTCTTGTGACGACCATAGGGGAATTATTTTAGCCGAAGTTGTTTTCAAGATATTGGTTCTATAGATCTCCGATACCTAACTAGAGCTCGAGAACAGCGAAATCGAGAAAGCCAGCCAGGTTTCAGACAGAGTTGGACGAGGGCGCATTGGTCATATTTTTACCCTCTGACAGATTCTGGAACACAGGCTTACTTATGGCGGCCGACACTTGCTATGTTTTTTAACCTAAAGAGGGCATCCGACTCTGTTGACCGTGAGGTGCTGTTTCAGTTTCTGACTGTGAAGTGAGTACCGAGCAAGCATAAAGTGCCTATCAAAGCTCTCTACTCGAACTCATGTAAGGACTTACGGAGGATTGTCATGTAGATGAACGATAATTCGTGGTGTCCACCAGGGATGTCCACTGTCACCGTTCTTATTTAACTTCGTCATAGACGTGCTAGTAGACAATAACACTAGGTACATCTGATTTCACAGAGATTGACCGACTCCCTGGAGGTCATCTGGTTGACTATATTGTGAAGACGATGACAAAATACAGGGTCTTCGGGATGCGTTGAGCGAAATTCGGCGCGAGTTTCACTAACACCTGCCAAATGTAAGATGATGCTCCAGTACTGGTCTGCTGTAACCACTCCCAGTTTGATGATAAGGATCGAAGTGGTGGAGTTGCTGATGAAATCTCAGCTCGAATACAGGAGACTTGTTTGGCACTGACCAGCGTGCGTCATCTGTCACGAGATATCCAATTATCTATCAACGGACGATAGTATACTGCGCTGCATTCCGTTCTGTTCTGTTTTATGGCTGTGAGACATCTCCGTTAAGAGTGAAAGATAAGAAGCTGTTATTAGTTTATATCACAGGTATCTTCGTAGCATTGCTTGCATTTGGTGGAATCACTGTGTGAGCAACGTTGAGGTTAGAAGGGTACTAGGCGAGACGTGCAAGTCGATTGATGGGGTTATGAACCTTCATCATCTGAGTCTGCTTAGACAGGTATTGCGCATGTCGAGCCACCGCCTTCCTCGACGTGGCATACTAGGGGGAGTTGGATTAGAGTTAGGGTTCATGGTACCCAGGCCAAGATGTGGCATCAGTCGATGAAATCTCTTACTTTTGGTCTGAGTCCTGGGGCGCGATACACACTGCCTGGTTGGAGTCCTGGAGACGATAGCAATCAGTGGTTGAGGACTCTTGGTAACATTAGTGGAAGTCGGTCGGAGTGACACAGATATACTCAGTCCTTATCGTCTTCCAAAGCTTTAATATTCGCACTATCCGTTATCTTCACATCGTTTATACTCTTGCACTACTTCATCTACTTTGATATCACCCTTTTTCTATCCATCTGCTTTTTGTGTACTACTGTGAAGTGTGGGAAATTGATCCGATGCACTTGTATGTGAGGTTCTACTTTGGATTTTTCAGTCAGTTAGTCGGTCACCATTTAATGAAAGTTGTGGGAAACAGTGTCAAAAGTTGGAGTTAGGTGGAGTGACTTGCAAACTATAATACCCAAAACCACTGCTTTAATTTCAGAAGGGGATCAGTGTGGCTGCCTACGGCTCAATTAATTTCCTTTTTTTTTTAGCTGAAAATATATTAACTGCAGGTAGAGTTTCCCAAATAGATTTGAATCAGTCTCAACCTGTTGCATGCACAGAAATCTATCTAGACAATTTGGTGAGAAGGTACACTCTGTGGTTTGATTTCCTGTCACTTTTTATTCTACTATTATTGTTGATAGACTGTTCATCCTTATATGTGTACAGCTGATGGTTTTATTCTTTTATTAAATTATATTTCAGTTTGTATGGGATGCTTGTATTAATTGGATTGACCAAGTACCTGAGACACGAATTGTTTACCTGCCTCAATTATTATCACACATCCGTTTGAAGTATCTGGATAAAGAGATGTTGGAGATTCAGTTACAAGAAAATCCACTAATTATTGTAAGAATGCTTTATATATATATATATATATATATATATATATATATATATATATATATATATATATATATATATATATGCATAGTTTTCAGTTCTCTCTTATTCTGAGTAATGTGCATTTCATATTAGGCCATAATTTCTTGAAATTTAAACTGAACTTTTCATGTCCAGTTTTTGTGTCAATATCTCACAGCAGTACATCAAGGTAGGACACACCAAGATAAAAGGTAGGAAAACAAGGAAGAGACTAATAGAGAGTAGTTAAAGGTCATTCAGAGAGTAATAAGGGATTCAACAGTTACGAAATTTAGCTGAATATTAAGCTGAATATAGTGCGTGGATAAACCTACACCACATCACCTAGAATCTCCAGCCACCAATTTCGGTTATCGTGCGGTTTATAACCGCGAAGTCGACTATTCTCTACGTAGCTCAGATGACCCATCAGAGGCTATAGACTGATGCTCTGTTTTAATCTGGCCACCTCCAACTTTTTTCTAACCTGAATTTACTTCAGCTTTGTGCTATGCGGCAGATAGTGACTAAACATGAGTCACTTGTGTTACCACTATCTGAGTCAATGAAGGTTCGCAACCTCATTAGCTGACTTACCTCTTTTACCTAAATTTATGAAGCTGACTTCTGCGTTACTGGGTGTTGTGACTTCTCAAGTAAGGGAAGTGGTTAGTGCTCTAACTACTTCACTCCCTATTGTTGGGTGGGGCACTGGTGAGGGTCAGTCGTGGAGCGACGATTCGCGCTTAGGCGGTAGGAAACGCATCCCAAACATTCTCGAAATTCCCCTCAAGGGGACCACAAGATTCTGCATCTTGGCAGCATCTTCATTTAACAGGACAATGTTATTTAAGTACTGTGAGTTTTCTAAGCAGTTTCCTGTGACTGTATCGAATCTTGTATGGTCAGACGAAAAGAAGGTGAAACCTCCATAACCAAGTGCATGACAGAGAATGGAAATCCTTTAGTGACACCATTAAATGTACATAACTCACTTCATACCTTTCCATCGCCCCTAACGCGCCTACTGGTGTCCTAATAGTGAGCAGTAGACTATCTGATGGTATTTTAAACTGTTTCTCGAAGTTTTCTACCCAACATTCCAGTTGACTCTAATCAGGGTTAATCACAGGCCCAACATTCTACTCATCATCTCACGAACCACCATGCTTTTTGCCTGTCTCTTTAGTTGGTTTAAGTAAATATATAATGGTACTCGTGGTCGACGCCTCTTTTTTCTCCTTCAGCTTCTCCACCCACTACTAGTCAAGATCTTTGGGAGACAACTCTCTGTCAGTCTACGGTCTAGCTTATCCTTCACTAATCTTCTTGCTCGAAGACTTTGTTCATGTGCACCTACTCATGTACAAAAAGGCACTGAGACCCACTGACACTTGTTAAAAATTTTCTGAGAGCCAGTCACCGTCTCTAAGGCTGCTTATACAGAAAAGTCAATGCGATACCAGAATACATAAATATTAATGATATTGTTCGGTTCCCTTAATAACCTAGGCAGTTCACCTTTAAAACCAGTATACCACTTTTAAATTGACTTTGCTTTTAGAATAGTCCACCCGTAACCACTGCAAGCTATGGATGGCCAAGGTAGACATGATCGCACAAACACCTGATAAGTGCAAAAACACGGAAATAAGTTGTTACCAAAACTGCCAACTTATAGTCATAGATCAGGACCGTACCACAACCTTCGTGATAAATCTACAAAACTGTTAAACGCTACCTATCTATCGCTGTTGAAACTCTGCGTTCATATGACCTTCGCAACATACCACCAGTGACTGCTTATGTAGACTGACATTTAGACTAATTTCATTACTGATCGTGGTGTGTTTTCATGAGTGCGTTCGCATGGACCCAGTGATACAGATAAAGCTGGTGAGATTGGTTAACTTCCTCTCAATGAGAATCACTTATTGTCTTTATGGCAGACAGTAGCAGGCCTCTTCAGGATAAGTTCAGTAACGCTATCATATTCCAATAACTGGGTGGTCAGTTGGTCTTTAGAAGTGACTTAAGGATCGTCACTATTGAAGTTAGTTCAGAACAGTCTGCACTAAGGTGTAGACATTTGTATACTCAGACTATAATGCTTTGTGACTGTTGAATTATTATATTATTTATTTATTAGTCCCTTGGGTTCGTAATGGAACATAGGGCTTCATTGACTGTTGAAAGGTGTAGCAAATTTAATATGCGGGGAGCACGAGTCCTTCAACGACCCTCCAGAGACATAACTGATAGTGTTATCGTCTCTCTGTGTCGAGTGCTCGTTCAGTTGAGGTTGTTGTACTCTGTGTCAGTGTCTCTCCTAATGTCTAAGTTTCGTGCTGGTGAAAAATACGCGGTTGTCTGAGCACAGTTATAGCAAGCGATTGTAAGTATTAGTTTGTCTGACGCATTACGAAAGTGCCAGTCAAGTGTCTTTCCGTCTGGTTTTACCTACATTTACCTACACTGGAGTTACCGGCTAGGAAAACCACATGTGAACTTTTGACTTTCACAGCTTTTGTAAGAACTCACCTTTTCCTTAACTTGAGTTACAGCCCGTGAGTTTGTAAGGGAGATTAGAAAAAGAGAACGGTGAGTTTCACTGTTCTGTTTAGTCCCCACTGCAGGATTCAATCGAACAGCATAGGAGATCCAGTGTAGCATTGTGGTCGCTGCCTTAAGACGTAGCACTATGCCTACATCTGCACAAGATCATAAAAAGTAACCATGGAGTCTGGAGAATATCGACAAGTGGATTTTGCAGATTCACCAAATTGATTGACTACAACTAAGTCTTGTATCCGTTCCTTCTACACACGACACATGTCCATGACTTGGGATGCTAGAGTTTCGAGTATAAAGGTTGTCGGATTTGAAGTAGGGTGTTGACGGTGAGAGGTACGATAAGTAGATTGAAGCGTGGCTTGAGGAGATGAGGGATGCAGTTCTGTGAACTGGAATTGTTATCAAAGGTTTTGGAGCTGTAAGAAGTTAGGGTTGATGTATGCTTTTAAACTGAGAGATGTGAGGAAAGCTAAGGTAAATATGAAGAAGGTCGGTAACGAGCTAAGGGGACTTGAGTGGCGACGGAGTTATGAGAACAGTTGACACTTGTAGGGTGCCTACGACCTGGAGGGAGGGTTATTTCTTCTTGAGGTATGTGTAAGAGAAACTGGATTAGTTCTGCTTGGTCACGGAGCCCAAGGGACATGTGTTTGAGGCCGGTCACACACGGCCTTTTCGGATATTTGAGATTGAAATGTGATTGCGTTGAATCCAGCTATAAAACCCATACGACCGGTACTGGAAGTCCGCAAGTCGGGAAGGAGTGTGACATTTTTTTTGAGCGACCTTCGTTATCGTATAACAAGACTATAGGATTCACGTTATACTGTGAGTCGACCGAGAACTCTACTCCGACGAGTTGAACCGTTTTAGAGTAAGACAAGATTAGGGTGACTTGGATAAACGCATGCCTATGATGAAATTAACTGAGAGTGAATTGAGTGGACATCTTTGTCAGACACCACTCGAAGTAGACAAGTCAGCAGACCCCGGATACTAGACTGTAACAGGACTACTTGTTTTCGAGTATGAAGCCTTCAGTAGTGTGACATACTTACTGGATGTAGGTTTCAGCGATAGACACTGGTGTGAGGCCAGTCAATGGATGGAGTGGAATACCGCCTCTAGGTTAAGGAATACAACTGTTGTGAAGCACCGGTAATTGTATTCGGAGATCTGGCAGGGGGTAAAGATCTAATGGATATGCCTATGACTGGAGGACCACAGGATTATTCCTCTCCTTTCTTGAAGACTAGGACCATCAGCAACTAAGAGGAGCCAGAGGTGATGATATCCGATAGTCCTTGAGTCAGTCGAGGTTGCAATCTTGGATCGGCGTCATTGAATACATCTAATACTAGCCTATTATGGGTAGTTGCCTTTCTTCTTTTCAGGTTATCAACGGCCTTCCCAACTTCGACAATACTTGAAGGTCTTATATCACTTTTTTAGACTACCGCTGGATAGCGAACAACTGAAGGGTAACTAGAAGTGAGTTGAACTGTCCCCTGAATTGTTCTGTCCATCGTCCCTCGTGCAAGTGAACTACTGACCTCTTCTTATGTGGTTTCATGTGACTCATCATGAATTTTGTATGTTAGTCTTCTTGATAAGTCTAAACAACTGTCGGTTATTCCTTGCCTTACGTTTTTGGTTCTCTACGCTGATTTGGACATAATTTTTGACCGGAGATGTCTTCTTAGGACTTTTCACGTTTATTGGAATCATGGTATAGGTTTTTTAAGGTGTGTCTAGTGCTTTTAGATAAGGACGACAATTGAGTCGGTCAGGCTGTGAACCTTCACTGACTGACGTGTGTTGAGTGTGTTCGGCTCATGCCTAGTCAGTGGCTCTTTCTATGCATATTGATTACCTAAGTAGATTTTGGTGAGAATAAGCTTATTGGTGTTCAGGGTGAGGTATGTTTTCTCTCAATATGTTCTTTTGCTTGTGACCTGAGGGATGAAGGTGACTGTAGGCTTCCCAGATTGGTGATCCGCCTAACAGTCTAATTCGGTGGTTAGATATTTTAGGTTATGCGGATGGAAATCGATGTGAGTGGTGCAGGTGTGTCCACACTTTACCTTCATCGTAATTGAAATACTGATTTTCGATGTTTAATTTTTCGTTGTTGTTCTCTCAGTGACCATTTACTGTTCTCACTTTCCTACTTGTTTCTCTCTGTCATATGGAGTCAGTTTTTTCGGCTGCAGCGGGTGTTGATGCTTAAATTCTACATTAGTTTATTATGCCGGTGGCGAATAGCCTGGAGTGTGCTGAGCAATAGGCGGTGATTGGAGACTTTCTTAATGTCGCTGAATCGATTTCCCTAACTTAGCTATATGGATGCGATATTTCCTAGTCTTGATCACCTTACTGTCATTTTGTCTTATTTCGTTAATGCTTATGCTGATATTATTTTTTTTCACTTTTCCATCTTTCCTTTTTTTGGCGCTGACGTGTCTACTTGAACTCATACTCAAATATGCCATGTCTTTTGTTGACAATTGAGATAATTTTATTCGTATTAGAGTAGTTTTTGAGCACTGATACAGTATAATGCTGTTTCTTTCTAGATGTGCATAGCGAGAAAGCGCTATTTATTCACTGTTTGACAGATTTCATCGATAGTTTTACATGGTTTAAATTTAGTAAGTTTTATAAAGAAACTAAGGAACTGATTCAATTCTTTGACTCCTCCATGAGTTGTCGGTCTTGTGGTTAAATCTTGCACGTATAGTCCTACGCGTTTTGAAGGGAATCTGGAAAATATGATTTTTGGAGCTTTTAGAATATTTTGATAGGTTATTGTTATGGTAGTGAATAACAGCGGAGTTCAAATAAGCAGTTTATTTCATCAATGTTGTTAATTTTATTGATTAGACTACTGTCGAAATATATTTGTATTCTTCAATAACTAAGATATATTCACCTACTTTATTTTAGGAATGCAAGAATGCACAGAACATTTTAAAGTATTTTCTCCATGAAGATGTCAGTAAAAGCGATGATACTACCGGTGCATTTATCAACACTTTACCTCCTCGTCCTGCTACACTAAAACGGCCAACATTGGTCGTCTTAGGTGGCCTCAACACGTGCATTTTAAACTGTATGCAATCCTTCTCCCCGTCCAGAACGGTATGGCAAACGTGTCCCTCTATGCCTGTAGATAGTTTAGCATGGTTCTCTGTAGCTGTCATAGCAAATACTCTATTTGTAATCGGTGGTATTAAGGTGAGTTCATATTTTTTTCGAAATGATTATAGAACTAGTGTATTCTTTAAAAAATTGTCATTTTTTAAAAAGACGTGTCTCTGAGAAGTTAGTTATTACTTGAAAGCCTTATACTAAAATACGTCACGTTGAGTGAAGGCGAACAGCCACCTGTCTCCATTATTCCAAATCAATGGTGGGGTTTGCCCAACTTCACCATTGATAACATTCTTTAGGCAGCCTCGAAGGAGGTGGGTTGTGGTGATTGTAGTATTGACTTGTCATCAAATGAAAGATGTTCCCAGTCCGGCGATATTGTTTTACTGTGCGACAACATACAGGGAATCCAAGTAGCATTAGTGAAGTTAGCGAATACTAACCGTAAGTATGGTATATGCTTCGCATCATTGACGTGCTCAGTGCTTTTATGAGATTAGGAGCTTGTGTCTGCAGTCACTTCCGGTAGCGAATTGCCGGAAGTCGTCGAAAAGTTTGTGTAACTGGGTTGTTATTTGAGTGCTATGGAAGGTACAGCTGTTGAGATTTCCAATCGTTTGACGGGAGCCGGAGTGGCACACGCTAATATGTATCAACTTTAGCACTGTCATGACGCTAACCTGGATGTAAGAGATCGGGTTCGTGCAGTTTTCCTCAACGCCTGTGGAAAATAGCCTCTCAGAGCTGAATATTTTCGATGACTATGCGTTTTGGATAAGCGTTGTCTCTTCAGGATTGATTGCATCCGGTTAAAACACCATGTAAACAATTTTGAGGTGATATACTGTATGTCTTTATATGACTGTAGGTGCCACTCACTAAGTGTAGTAATCTTGAAGCATTGGCTTTGGTGGCTCGAAAATGCAATACGCATGTCGTCCTAGAGGCTACCATCCCTCTTACTGTTTGCTCACTGTGGGGCTGGTTTGAAGAAGCGGAAAGGTAGTCAGTGTATAAATTGACGCCATAGTTGTGTTTAGTTAGTTTCTGCAGGTGCTAACTGACTACCTGAATGCAATCCCAGTCCAAGAGAACATATATCATCCCAGTAGAAAGAGACGATCACGGAGATGGTTCAGAATGGAAGCCAGAAGTGATCATACTGCTGCTTCTATGACTGAAAAGTAAAAGAAAGGCAATGAAAGCCTCTTTGGATTTATCCTTAGGATGGCTTCTTTTTAACCACCCACTTCTGTGTTTATTTATTTAAATTACCTTATTTCTCTCCCCTAATGTTACCTTATTGTTTTGTACGGTGTATCTCTAGATGCCACCAACTTTGTTTTAATACATTGCTAAAGATGGTCAACAGGAGACCTTAAACTGTAAATTTCCTACCTACCGTCTTTTATATCCATTTTATATCTAATACTTTGAAAAACTTGTGTTGTTTCTGAGATCGTAATCCTAATAATTTGCGTAACTAATCAGATATTTACACCTGGACAGTTCATGCAGTTACCATCTTTTAACTGACTGTTTGAAAAAGTCCTTCATTGAACCTGCGTTCATTAATTTCATCATATTTGTGATGTTTTTCCTCTTATTAGGTATCCACAACTTTTCCATTTCAGTTGGTTCATTAGATATATCACATAGTGCAACAGTATTATTTACTGAATTTTGGCTTCCGTCTGTGAAAATCATGTGAGCTTATTGATTAGTCTCCGGGTATGAAGACCAGTAAATAAGACTGTTTCACTGTATGATAAAACAACTAAAATGGAATTGCATTCTCTCAAATGTATCCAAGTTTTTTCTCTGATATTAATCTACAATTATTCACTATGGTTCTGTCGCTTGTTGGCTTAGGCATAATAATTTCATCCCAGTGGGTTGTGATTCCGAGTACCATTCAATTAGTGAAATTTGACTAACCACATAAATTGCATACAGTATAATAAATAAGCCTGTGCATGATTTCTGATTTTTATACTATTTCATTCGAAATTATAAGGCTTTTACTAAGAACTTACCTTGATATAATGTCAAGAAATCCATAAGAACTCTAAACGTTTTAGTATATTTATTTGCTGTAAAGTTGTCAATGGATATTCATCTGATTGTATCTTATCTTGGAATTTGATTCTTGTATACATCCTACATCTATATTGGTTAGATTAGCGACCGTACAAATCATCAAAATGATATTGATTTGTCAACAATAGCTGAAAAATCATTTTATTAAATGGGGTAAATGACTGTTACACTGTCCATATAAAAGGAAAACGTTCGATCAGACTTTGTTTATTTATAGATCATGACTTTTTCTTAATTCCTGAAATATAAATGATATTAGAGCTTTTTAGTGATTCAGGTTTTCTCGATCTTTTCTTTTATAGGCAGGTACACTCATGGATACAGTCTATGCATATTCCCCGGTTCGATCTTCTTGGAGTCAGCGAAAGTGCATGTTGCAAGCACGAGCTAGACATTCTTCTGTCTCTGTTGGTAGTCGATATATTTTTGTATTTGGCGGTGTTACAATGTCTACAAATTCCAGTCATCAACAGCCTTCAACAAATCGTGTAATTATGAATGAATTTCAAGAAATGAATTTTTTTACAAATAGATTAAATCATAATTCTTCATATTTATCACCTTACAATCCCAATCTTCCGGTAACTGAATTAGACATTCCAACTTTAAAGTTTGAGAAAACTATTATTCGTTATGATATATGCAGTGATACATGGATCACTGTTGGGGAGACAGATAATCCACGTTTAGAATCTCATGTTGTCTTAGTTAATGATTCGAACGACAATACAAGTTCCACCTTACAGTCATCTGATATACTATATGAAACGGATGCTGACCAACAGAATTCACTACTTTCTGATTTATCAGGTATTAATTCACTTCACCTACTGAATCTAATGTGAATTAAGCATTCTTCACTGTAATGATTGTCTTTAAATGAATAGTTTTCATTGTGCACAAAATATGTGAACATTCAACGATTTGACTGTTGTTTCAACAGGATTTCAGCTAGTGAGACTGTGAAACTCAGCTATGTACAAATTTACTTGCTGACATATAAGGCACACGCTTTCTGTTACGCTTTATGATTCTAACTGGTTTTGCAGGTGGAAGCAGATAGAGCGACTCTCGTTGCTTAAAAACAGATTGCCTTACCTAGCGAATCAGACCCTATTTTCCATCAGGAGTCGTTGCATCATTCGGTGGAGGTTAGGAAAATCGAAGCAGATGGAAAAAGCACCAGTATCAGATGACACTCCTACCATTAATAAATAAACTAGCACGAAAGCATGATTATCAGTCGTAAAGTCATCAAGAATTACAGGTATCTACTAACTGCTCATCACAAACAGACAGTCAACCTACAACCTCCCATTTCAGTGCATTGGTTCAACTCGCTACACTTTAGAGTAACATTGTAGAACAAGTCGGCACTAAAAGAATGGAGGTATAAAAGTAGACAAAGGTGCATTGGAGAATAACGAATTAGAAATTTGAGATTCGCTCAAGCCTTAGATATGAGAGTGAATACATCTGTGACACTGCGACCAATTCCCAGTAATATTACATAAGGTTTCCAACCAAGCAGTCAACGTTTCCCTATTTTGTTCAGACTGGCATTCGCAGATTTCACGTACTTCTACCGTGACTTGGTCTGGTCAATATAAAAAGTTTCCTAACCTCACTAGTCGAAAGTCGCACGTTAAGGTAAGTAGGCATACGCTAAACATATCCAATCCACCTCAGTCAGTGAAGATTCACAGCCTCATCAATTCAATTGCCTTCCTCATGTAGTAACAATTGCTTCACCTCAACATGCTTATGCAGTGATTCCACTATATGTGAGAATTGTTCTGAAGAAATCTACGGTCAAATAACTAGTCTGTTCATGTCTTCCATATTCAAAGGCCATTTATCACAGCCGCATAACGAGATAGAGGGGACTGGAGCGCAACATACTCGTCCTTTAACATGTAATCGGACATCTCCCTAAAGTCAGAGATGTCGTTAGTTGGCGAATGCTTAACCGACCTTCTGTATCCGAGCTGAAAGTTCGTCAGCAACCAACCTAATTGGCCTGATGCGAATTCTCAGGGTTGCGGTTCTCTGGTTTAGGTTCTTGACTTTCACAGGTTTCAACCTTGCTCCGTCTACCGAGGATTCAGGACTAACATTATCAATACCCCTGACACAATAGATGTGGCTCCCCACCAACCACACTGATGTACACGCGGTTGTTGTGTGCATTTTCATATGAAATCATGGGTAAGTGAAGTGGTCAACGCATTCTACAATTCTAATCCTAATCATTAATATGGAAGTGGCTACAGACTAGTCCTAGAGTATCTTCATATTGCAATAGACAGGTGCGAACGCGAGGCAAACACACTCTGATTTCTGCTTTAAGTGTTCAGAAGACACTACATACTTCACGATAGTACATAAAGAACAAATGGATCTTAAAAGACTGATGTCAAAGTAGATGAAGGTGGATGGGAGGAGAGGGAATTTAAAAATTCAGGTTAATGAAAACACTCAAGCTTTAGAAGACATCGAAGAGTGAATATATCTGCACGATTGTGGTCGATTTTCAGTCATCTCACCAAGAGTCTTCAGACATTGATTCCCATCATCTCAGCACCATAGTCAGGTAGTTAACACCTCTATACACAACTCAGACTAACAGTTAGGGATTTCATGGATTGGTGCCATGTCTTACTCTCACTTCTGTTAGCCTTCTTCCAGTATTATCCAGCATTTTGCTTCGTCAGCATCTTCACCTAACAAGACAATATCGTCTGCATACTCCAAGTCAACCACATGCCTTTCAGGGAGTAGATCAGTCACTAAGACGTCAAAAGTACCTAATGTTATGTCCATTAGCACATCTAATACGAAATTAAATATAAACGGTGACAGTGGGCATCTCTGGCGAACACTACCAAATGTCATCAATTCTGATGACAACTCTCCATAAGCCACCTACACGACTGTGTGAGTTCGAGTAGAGAGCTTTGATAAGGACTTTATGGTTGTTCGGTACTCCCTTAACAGTCAGACACTGCCATAACACCTGACAGTCGACAGAGTTGCATGCCTTCTTCGCGTCACGAGACAAGGCAAATGTTGTTTGCCGGTAAGTATGCCTGTATTCCAAAACCTGTCGGAGGACGAAAATATAATCTGTGTCCTCGTTTAATTCTGTCTGAAACCAGCCTAGTTTTTTTGAGTTCGCTGTTCTTGAGCTCTACTGAAGTATCGGATAACTATGGATCTTGGATACAATATTAGTCAAACTAAATCCCGTATGGTTGTCACAGGAAGACTTCTCATAGACTAGGATGATCAGAGAAGTAGACCATATTAACGGCACTACCAATGATTCCCAAACACTACGTGGTATATTTGTCACTATAATTGGCGATTTCGTACCCCATCCTTGAAAACTTCTGGTGGAAAACTCTCAGGTCCTGCTAACTTGCATCGTCTTAGGTTCGACACAGACTTCTTAACTTGATGGAGAGTCATGGAAGGGACATCCACGTGCAACTGAAGGGTTTCTGTGTACCACTTGAACTTTGCTTCAAAGTATAGTGTTCCACCCAACGTTCTAGCCACCTGTCCTGAGAGGTTATCAGCGTCGCATTCTTCTCGGTGACGGTCTGACTAACCATCGTTTTCTTGATAGTATCCATAATAAGCCTGACCAATTACCGTGTTACCTAACGTTGATGCCTTATTCATCTCTCGCCACCCATCGCTGCTGGAGTACAGAAAGCCGGTTAAGCATTTGCCAACTAACGACATCTCTGACTTTAGGAGATGACCGATCACGTGTTAAAGGACGAGTAAGTTGCGCTCCAGTCCCCTCTATCTCGTTATGCGGTTGTGATATGTGGCCGTTGAATATCAATAATATCAACATAGGACCAGCCATTACTGCGTGACGGTCTGAGTTGCCACACTTCATATCAGTACATCAAGTAAAAAGGCAGTGAGGTGCAAGATGAAGGCAATAAAATTCAGTCATAAGAAATATAAATTATGAAAAGATGAAGGAAGAATGATAAAATGGTGAGATTCGGTATAGCGTCATTAAGATGAGGATGCTGTGTGTATACATTTGCGCTACTGACATCGGTTCTGAGCCATATGGAAGACATGAATAGATTAGTTATTTGACCGTAGATTTCTTCAGAACAATTCTCACATATAGTGGAATCACTGCATAAGCATGTTGAGGTGAAGCAATTGTTACTACATGAGGAAGGCAATTGAATTGATGAGGCTGTGAATCTTCACTGACTGAGGTGGATTGGATATGTTTAGCCCATGTCTAGCCCTTGCCTCTCTCTCTCTCTACATATATATATATATATATATATAATTAACTTGAATAAATTTCAGCTGGAATACGTTTATTGGTGTTCAGGATGAGACGTGTTTTCTCTCAATATGTTCTTTTGCTTGTGACCTGAGGGATGAAGGTGACTGTAGGCTTCCCAAATTGGTGATCCGCCTAATAGCCGAATTCGGTGGTTACATATTTTAGGTTATGCAGATGGAAATCGATGTGAGTAGTGCAGGTGTGTCCACACTTTACCTTCATCGTAATTGAAATACTGATTTTCGATGTTTAATTTTTCGTTGACGCTTTACTGTTTTCACTTTAGTTCTTATTTATGTGCTTTTAATTTTATTTTGATGTGCTACAGTGAGATGCGTCAACATTTTGTGTTACTGAGTAACGTTTAGTCCGTAATCCTTTTTGTTGGACTAAATTTTTCAATCTTTCAGGTAATCATTATTCTATAGGTTTGATATAATTTTCCCTATGATGTGAAAGTTGTGTTTTGCGGAAATAGTGCTTTACTTCCATATTAGATTTTCTATGTAATGTAGCTCAGTTATGAAGTATTATTTGCTGGATGATGTTTTGATCACTTAATGTGTCTGTGCCTTGTATCAGATAAGCAATTTTTTATATGGAAGCACACTCCCGCAGTGCGGAAATGTTACTCTTACATTAGGGCGTTACTTTTCACGACAATTCGAGAAATTCCAAAGGAGGATGTGGCAATTCTCGTGGTTTCATTGAGTGTTCTTTGTGCTTCCTTTCTTTCAAAGTCGCATACTGTGTTATGGATGTTGAAGGCAGCTGTGTGTCATAAGATATGAGCTTTTATGGAAGGGTATTTTATCAAGTAAGTTCGTTACTACTACTCTACTAGTGTCTATTGATGTGCAAACATGTTAGCATCATGTAAATGTATTTACTTACGATATCACTCGATAGTTGTTTGACATTCATGCTTATTCATTGAATTAGTTTCATTGGTTTTCTCAATGCTATTTGTTTATTTAATGATAATTATTTATGCAACTTTTATTTTAGATGCAGCAATCTCAGAAAATATTGCCAACCAGAGTAGCCAGATTATTAAAACGCATAAAAGAAACAATTCTGCAAATATGAATATGGAGCGTGTTTTTGTCGAAATCGGTGGGATTACTGAATTACAACCGCATGGAACTGATCAAGTTGCTTTTTATCGTTTACGTTCAGATTATACAATCTTTTGTACTGCTGATTACATCAAACTGCCACAACAGTTTCGTTATGTAAACTGTTGTGTACATCCTGTGAGTATTACCCAATTTTTTGGAGTATCTTAAAGTTTAATTCTGTGGTTCTCAACTTATGGAATAAGATTTTTGGTTGTGTTTTTTTATTTGAGCAATCATGTAATAGATGCAATTAAAGACTGCGAATCTGAATATTTGCTTTATTGCTTAGATTACAGTTCGTTTACTGAAATCGAAACCTTACTCCTGCCTATTTTGGTATGTTTCAACTTTCATGTCATTTATATTTCGGATAAATTTGTTGGATTCCTGACATTTTTTATGTATCTACATAAACTAGAATTTAAATTGAATCTATGCATTTTGCGTTTTCTCTGGAAATCCATTAAGCTTACCACCTAGGTCGAGGTTACCAGTTAAGGGATAATTATCATTCACGTCATATTATATTCATATTCACCTGAACTAAGCAAGCACGTCTGACAGAAAGGTGTTTAAAGATCTCGGACAGTAGTGGATTTGTTCAAATTGCGTCGCTTCTTAGCAGTACAGTAAGATAAAATAAAAGGTGAGAAAAATGATCCTAATTATTCAGAATGTGAGCGTTAATGGGTAGCAATTAAGTACGCATCGAACAATAAAATGTCCAATATTTAAAGGAACATAAAAGGGTGGATGCATCCGTACTGTTTCGGCTGATCTAAAACCATCTCCTCTAGGGTCGTCAACCATTAAACCGTAACTTTTTTCTTCATCTAAAAAGCTTATAGGTGGCTGAGTTCAACAGTCAGTGATACTATAGACTGATTACATGTACTATTCTGATCCTACTGTCTTTTTTCCAGCCTAATGTTACCCCATTCAATAGGGTGTCGATATGTTGCTGGTGAATTGTAAGTAGAGTCGACCTACTTAACCACAACATGACTAATAATTTTCCTATTAGATAATTTCTGTCACCGATGAAATAGAAATAAATCTATGAGATTCATATCTCGGCGCACTACTCGTTAGAAGAACACAGGTAAACAATAATGTGATCTTCGTTGTTTGAAACCTGTTAATTAAATTTATACAACCTCTGGAAAATGTCAACATCATAGACATGGTGTCAATCCATATAACCTCTGTTTACGATCTGCTCTGAGTGTAGACTATCTAGTTGGAGTCCTCAAGACGCATGGAAACTCTTTATGATATGGTTCAAAAGCGATTATAATCGCTTCTGTCGTTCTTGAAATTTATCCATTGGTTCTCTCTCTTCCAATATACTCTTTTCTACTTTAATAACACTCTTATCTACCTCCCTTTTTTCATGCTGCTTTGGAATGCGGTAACTTGAACTAATTCACGTTTATGCCAGGTTATTCGTCCATTTCTTGGTTGTATTGTGTTCTCTGAGCTGGGTTGTTTAATCGTGAAGCTTTCATCGTCTTTCTAGACGACATCATCAGGACCAAAATTCAGTATGAAGTGAGCTGTCAATATCTCTCCGTGAGTGACTTAGTAGTTTTGTCAGGGCAAGCTACTAAGTCACTCACGGAGAGATATTGACAGCTCACTTCATACTGAATTTTGGTCCTGATGATGTCGTCTAGAAAGACGATGAAAGCTTCACGATTAAACAACCCAGCTCAGAGAACACAATACAACCGAGATCATCCACCTGAGCTACAAATATTCTCCACTATTTATACGTCGATTTGTCTGTCAGTATGTGCTCCTCAGCCATATTCATCTGTCTTTCGACTTTATGTTTTTTAGTAGTAATTATATAATATTATATCAGTCACTTATCTTTACCAAATTTTCTGAACGTATACTAACGTATTTTTCTGCTTGTAGGATAGCAATTTACTTTACATATTTTGGGAGTCAACAAGTGAACTATCGGTTTTAGATCTTCGTCGTCATACACTCCGTCCATTAGCACCATTAATTTCCTCTTCAACTATTTCTGCAAATGAAGCACGAGTTCATGCGGGACTTACATGGATTGGAGAATTTCTTTATGTGGTTGGAGGCTTTAGTGAGTTTGTTGGTGATGATCGACGTCCTACCGCTCCACGAGATGATATTCATTGTTATGATCCAACATCAAACACTTGGTATGTATTTCATCATTTTTAATGTATAGTTATATTTTACTATATGAGTCGAATAACATTTAACTATAGCTTCTTGTTGTTGTTTTTCAACAGGTCACTTATAAAGGTTTTGAACACAACAGTCCCTCGAGCTATCTTCGGTTGTGTATGCCTCAATATGTGATAGATACGATATTATTTGCATGAATTTTCTGTCCTCTTATACTTCCGGTTTATCTTCCGATTATTGTTGTTGCTTATTATTTCTATGAATAACAAAGTTTTATTCCTTTTTGTATAACTATTACCTTCCAATGTGATATTTCTGAAACTGCTCTGATGAAATGGATACTGAATTACTTTTCGTTATTTTACATCTGTGCTTTTATCCATATGATATTCTTCTGTTCGTCTACTTGTGACGAATTATTCCTTCATGTCAGTTATATTTCCCGCTGGTTCGGGTTTTACATTTTGTTTTCCAGGTGTTACTAGAAGTATTATAATCATCAGAATATTATATAAAAGGATTGCATTTACACTGTAATAATTATTATCCCTGTGTGTTATTCTTTTTCACACCAGTTTTACTTCACACCAAAATATGCCTGTATGCATGTCGATGGATTTCTAAAATATCTTCAATTACGTATTGGTGCTTGTTTGCTATCAATCAATGAGCAGTATTTTATGCAACCAGCTAACATTCAATCACTGTACATTTTTCATCAAATGGACAATTATTCGAAAACCACCAACAAGTCGCTTAGATTAGCTAAATGTACAACTTCATGATCTAGATACTGTATGAAAAAGATTGAAGCCTGAGTAGTGATGTTGACTATACCGAAATTTAACGGTATTAAAGTGCTTCTCGAGGATAACCATCATTTTTAACCAATTCTACCTTTGCTTTTTTGAACGAGAGAAAAAGGTATATTACTCTCTCACTTCACGCATTTTCAGTGTTTTCTGTAAAGAGTATGAACCTAACACAATCAAATCTCAAACGCCTTCAAAATGACTGCATATGACTGACCTCAAGCAGTTTTCCTTTGTACTCTTCAGTCATGCGCTCAAGCTAATAGTGCTACTCAAACTAGTCAAATTTCTTTTTATGATGCACCAGAAAAAAGTGGTACCTCAGGTTACAGATGGCTAGGCAGCAGCAACCATGCCTATAATTTTATTTCTACTCGGGTCCTTGCTGGTTACTATCAACTTTCTGCTTTCTTGACTTCTAACTTTTCCTCACATTTCTCTGCTAGTAAGTGTATACTGTCTTCAACTCCTACTAGTTATGCAATATATGATTGTAATTGAAGTTTAGAGAGTAGTCTACAGGTCTTTTGAAACTACTCTCCAAAATGCAGTTTGATAAAAAGCCTCACTAGCCAGAACTCTAACTTATCGGAAGATCTACATACGCTATGCTTTTGAGATACGCAGGTGTGGCTGTTCACTTGACCTCATCTGGTCGGTACAGTGCATCTGAAAAATCCATCCTTCACGTTTCTGAAAACTCGACTACTTCATAATGGTGTAAGTATAGCCTCAAAATTATCTTCTTGATTGAGACCTAGGCGACAGTTGCATGTATGCTGTTGTACTAAATGGTATAAGAAGGACTTCGAAGAGTAGTGACACACCATTATCTTTTTTTATCTCCGTTCACGAACTTTAACTTGACCGTTACCGATGACAACCCAGCGATGGACACAGTCTATTTCACTACTACTTATGGTTTAAGAGCGTCACTGAAGACTCTTTCTCCGTCTGCATTGCATACTTAGATAGTAATAACGCATTTTTTGAGTACGCAAATGCCTGAAACTTGGTCGTAATTCAACGGAAAACCTGACAGGTGTCATCTCAGAGCTATAGACCTGAACATCTGTAGTTGTGCTACAGTCTGTAACAAGGTACTCCCTAAAGTGTCTACATCGACCCTTAAGCATTATCATGAAGTGCTTATTTAGCCCTCTTCTTATTTGAATTTATGGAGAATGGTCTCGCAGAAAAACCCCTGGTGACTCAAAGTCTGCAGTTAGTCTAGCTGTTCCTGCAGGATTGGTGTGAACCGATATCCCATCCAGGACTAAACAGTGAATTTACTGACCACTTCAGTGAGCCTTATTTTATTAAGTGCCTGTGAAATATGTGCAGAACTCTAGGTATTTGACTACTGTTGCTTGGATTAACTCGCTAATGTCTAACGAAAATAACATAAGAGCAGTGCAGAGGTTGGGTGTAGAATAGCAGTCCAACTTTCATCCAGTAAGGTGGTTGGGATATGTGCCAGCCTAGCCAGTAATGTTGTATGAACACAATATCGGTCCATGAAGTAAGACTGTCTTCCCAGTGGTTTTGGAAACGTAGGCTTCTTGGTTGGTGTCCATGAGACATCTGAAACCGACAACTGGAGGCTTTATATGGTAAGGTTCAAAACGTGTCACAGTGGAGTAAATGCTTGTAGTCAATTTGTTCACCAATAAGATACCGTGACATATCTTTACTTGTTTTGTGAAAACTGATATTACTTCCACGTAGTTTTTTTCTCTTGTTAACTTCCACCTTAATGTATTTATGTGAAGTGTGACAGATTGAAATAATGCGTAAACAAAATAAGTCTAGTGATCGCAAAATAGAGTAACTCAAAAAGCAGTTGCGGTTAGCAGAATCGGACTTTGAATATTCTGTGTTCACAAGTTTTATTGCTCATCAATGAAATTGTGTTTGCTCGGTAAAGAAAAGTAGTAAGGAGAGTTAAAAGCAACGACATGGCTCAGAGCTGGTCACAGTAGTGCAGAGGCATTCTTGCTTCATATTAACAGTTACACCACACTCCATGGCTCGCTAAACCCCTTTTATTTTTGTTGCATGGCTTTATACGACTTTTCTCGTAATAGCTCCTCTTCTTTGTTGTTGTCTGCGACGGCTTTGATTATTACACTGTAATGACAGGACCCTTGTCGATATTGACTGACCAATTGAAGTAAATTTGGAGTTTTTAGTTACGTAGGTTAGAGTTACGCTTATTAGCATAGCTAATCACTAAGTTGATTTTATTTGGTATAGGTGGCCTGAAATGTAAAATAGTTCTTGGCAGTAGGCCATCCCGATCGTATGCATACGCAAAATTGTAGAATATAAATAGTTGATAAGCTTCGTGTATAATTCATTTCTTAAGTCTCTATATATATTATTTGACAAATAGAAGCCGAACGTTTCCCATCAACTAGAAGCGAGTGACCATATGAAGATGGTTTGTGTTTCTGATCATTTTAAACACCTGTTGTAATAAGCCAATGTTTGAAGAAACTTCGCCGTAAATTGAAAAGATTGTATGTCTACAATGGGACACCAATAGGCAGACTAAATAAACGTAGGTCTTCGCACACAAGTGCATCGCTCCAGGTTACCTTACTTCACGATACTGCGCAAAGAACAAGTGGATATTAAAAAACTGACATCAAAGTAGATGAAGGTGGATGGGAGAAGAGGGAATTTAAAATTCAGGTTAGTGAAAACACTCAAGCTTTAGAAGACGTCAAAGAGCGAATACATTTGCACGATTGTGGTCGATTTTCAGTCATTTCACCGAGTCCTCAACCACTAAATCCTGCCGTCTTGGCAATCCCAGGCAGTCTACACGGCTCAGATAAACAGTTAGGGATTTCATGGACTGGTGCTGCCTTAATCTCGCTTCCCTTAGCCTTCTCCTAACACACTCCAACTCCTACCACTATTGCTCGTCGAGGTAGGCGGTGGTTGAGCATATGGAGTACATGTTCAAACTACCTGAGTCGAAGAAGGATTCACATTCACGTCGAGTAACTTGACTTTCTTCCCTAGTGCTCTTCTTTTAAACCCGACACTGCTCACACAGTATTTCACTATGCACGAGCAATGATACGAAGACAGCTATGATCAAAGATGTATAACCGCTTCATATCTACTGTTAACGGCGAAGCCTCACAGCCATATAACAGGACAGAACGGACTACAGTGCAGTATACTCGTCTTTTAATAGGTAGTCAGATATCTCACCACTCCGCGCCAGAGAAGATGGAAATTAGCAACTGCCAAACGAACCTTATATATGCGAGATGAGATTTCATCAAGAAACAGCCCATTCACGGTGACGCCAGTAGGTGAAATGGTCGCGGCATCCCACCATTCCTTAACCTGGAAGTAAATGCAGACCAGACTTGCAGGATCACCTGACATTTTACAAGCCAACTAGATGACCTCCATGGAGTAGACCAATCCCTGTGGAGTTAAAAGAACCTAATGTTATGTCCATTAGCACATCTAATACGAAATTAAATATAAACGGTGACAGTGGGCATCTCTGGCGAACACTACCAAATGTCATCAATTCTGATGACAACTCTCCATAAGCCACCTACACGACTGTGTGAGTTCGAGTAGAGAGCTTTGATAAGGACTTTATGGTTGTTCGGTACTCCCTTAACAGTCAGACACTGCCATAACACCTGACAGTCGACAGAGTTGCATGCCTTCTTCGCGTCACGAGACAAGGCAAATGTTGTTTGCCGGTAAGTATGCCTGTATTCCAGAAGATGTCGGAGAGTAAAAATGTGATCGATGTAACCCCGTCTAATCCTGAAAACCACCTGGTTTTCCGAGTCCCACTGAGGCGTCGGATAACTATGGACCCAATTATAAGTCAAACTAGTTACCCTATGATTGCCATAGCAAGACTTATTTCACTTGTTATAGACTAGGATGATCAGAGAAGTAGACAAGTTTAATGGCACTACCTCTGATTCCCATACATTACGTGATACCTCGATCGATCTAATCAGAATTTCCTACCTCAATCCTTGGAAAAGTCAGGTGGGAAACTGTCACATCCTGCTGCTTTGCATCGTTTCAGGTTCCAAACACATTTCTTAATTTCAAGGAGAGTTGAAGGACCGACATCTACGTCCTATTCCGGTTCAGGCTGGGTGTCGGACAACCGAGGCGTTGCTGTGTGCCATTTGAACTGTCAGTTTGACCGCCCACTGATACTAGCAAGCTAGAAAAGCGTTTACGCATCGATTAACTTAGAATACTGTCCAGCAACAGAATTCGCAAGTGGCTCTGAGTAAGCAGCATATATCACATAGGATTGTGATGTCTATAAATCATATTTTCTCGTACAATAGAGCATATGATTAATATCTATAAAGAAACGTAAAAGGCAGAATAAGCAGGTACTGGGTTACTTTACCTCAGTGAAACATGCCTTCACCTTTATCACTATTTCAGTTCCTTTGAATGCTTTAATTTCAGTTTTCTTATTTCAACTGAACAATAAAAATGGCGCAATTGAGATTTTCTGTGATTTTAATGTTACATATGAGGGAAAAAACAGTTTTCTAGATATAACACGTGATTCTCCACTTCATCCTTCCTAAAAAAAAGTGATCGACACAAAGGGAAGGGCATTTATGCACTCCATTTGACACATGCTTTGATTTCAGGTTGATTTGCATTTGTCTGCGCTGCTGGTGTACATTTTAATCACAAAGGTACTGTTAACTGCTCATTCC